TCTGTCCCGAATCTCGACTCGGCGCGTCCCCTCATGCGTTCGCTACTCCTCCTCCTCCTCCTCCTCCTCCTCCTCCTCCTCCTCCTCCTCCTCCTCCTCCTCCCTTTTCTCCTTCTCCTCCGCCCTCCTCCTCCTCCTCCTCCTCCTCCCCTCCTCTCTCCTCTTCTCCTCCTCCCTCTGTTCCTCCTCCTCCTCCTTCTCCTCCTGCTCCTCCTCCTCCTGCTCCTCCTCCTCCTCCTCCCCTTCCCCCTCCTCCTCTCTCTCCTCCTCCTCCTCCTCCCTCCTCCTCCTCCTCCTCCTCCTCCTCCTCCTCCTCCTCCCTCCTCCTCCTCCTCCCCTTCCCCCCCTCCTCCTATCTCCCCTCCTCCTCCTCCTCCTCCTCCTCCTCCTGCTCCTCCGCCGCCTCCTCCTCCTTCCCCTCCTTCCCCTCCTCCTCCTCCTCTCCCGCTCCTCCCTCCTTCCTCCTCCCCCGTCCTCGGCAGCGATAGGCGGGTGGCTAGGCTTCGGGGGGGATGCATCGACCCCCAATTGGCCATGGATCGCCGATTGGGGCCCCACGGCTCCAGCCTGCCCAGGAGCAGGCGGATGTACGATATCGGGGGCCCGTCGCCGATCCAGCGGCGATGCATTATTCGATTGTCGCTGGCATTGTCATCGGTCAGATGGTGGGGAGGGGAACTGGAAGAGGAGAAGAAGGAGGAGGAGGAGGAGGAGGAGGGAGGGAGGAGGAGGAGGAGCAGGAGGAGGAGGAGGAGGAGGGGAACCACACATGAGCAAGGTGCTTAGCGTGTTTACAGTGCGTTTGTTCCCGCGCGCAGTCGGTGAGCGAGGGCCAGCGGATAGAGCAGAGAGGGGGGCATGCACGCATGCACGCACGGATGCCTTCCCATAGCTGTCTTGGGTCCGCCGCCACCCGTCTTCCACCCGAACAGGTTTCGGCATCTCGCGTGGGATGGAAACACGGTTCTCTTCCTAACGATGGGACCGTGAGGGCGTTCATTTTTGGCGGCGGTTTCATGGTCGAGGGCGTGGGCGTTGCCTCGCCAGAGTGTGCGAAGAGTATCTCACCAAGGGGGCAGTAGTTGGCCAAGGGCCTGATCCGTTGGCAAAGGGCTTTACCTCTGCGGTGCTATGATTGGCGCGAGGCGCCAAGGGGTCTTTTCGTCCGCAGCGGAGCTACTCCGAGCTCTCCCCCGCGTGACGCCTCGGGCGGACGCGACGCGGGGCGCGCGCGCGCGTACACGAGCGCTACCAGGGGGGAAGGCAGACAGGGTTCGACAGCGCAAGAAGTGCCAAACCGGCAGGAAGAAATCCGCCCAGCGAAGGACCTATGCAGTTATGCTCAACCATACGCAACTGTGGGTATCTTCTTGGGTGGAGCTCCCTATAGGGGCCGCGAACGTTGTGCTCGTTGGGGGAAACGCATGCGAACACCGCCACTGGGACCTTCGGCGCAGCTCCCTGTAGGGCCACGAAGCGCTGTACTGGGCGGGGGAGACGTATTCGAACACCGCCACTGGGGCCTTCGGTGGAGCTCCATATTGGGCAACGAAGCGCTGTATTGGGTGGGGGAGACGCATGCGAACACCGCCACTGGGGACTTCGGTGAAGCTCCCTGTGGGGCCACGAAGCGCTGCACTGAGTGGGGGAGACGCATACGAACGCCGCTGCCAAGACCTTCGGTGCAGCTCCCTGTGGGGCCAAGAAAGCTCATGTTGGGTGGGGGAGGCGCGTCCGAACACCGCAGCTGGGGCCACGAAGCGTTGCATTGTGTGGGGGGGGACGCATGTGAACACCGCCGCTGGGGCCTTCGGTGGAGCCCCGTATGGGGCCACGAAGCGCTGTATTGGGTGGGGGAGACGCGTACGAAAACAGGCAACTCGGCCTTCGGTGGCACTGGAACCTTCGGGGCAGCCCCCTATGGGGCCACGAAGCGCTATACTGCGTGGGGGGGACGCATGAAAACACCGCCAGTGCGACCTTCGCTGGGTCCTCCTAGGGGGGCATGAAACGCTGCACTGACGGGAGACGCATGCGACCACCGCCACTGGGGCCTTCAGTGGGCCCCCCACATGGGATCACGAAGCGTTGTATTGGGTGGGGGAGACGCATGCGAACACCGCCACTGGGGACTTCGGTGAAGCTCCCTGTGGGGCCTCGAAGCGACGTATTGGGTGTGGAACACCGCCGCTGGGTCCTTCGGTGGAGCTCCCTATGGGGCCACGAGGCGCTGCACTGAGTGGGTGAGACGCATGCGGACATTGCCACTGGGGCCTTCGGTGGAGTTTATTACGGAGCCGCGACACACTGCACTGGGAGGATGAGGCGCGTCCGAACACCGCCACTGGGGCCTTCGGTGGAGCTCCCTGTGGGGCCACGAAACAATGTATTGCGCGGGGGGAGCGCATGCGGGGCCACGAAGCGCTGTAATGGGCGGGGGAGGCGCATGCGAACACCGCCACGAGGCGCTGTATTGAGCGGGTGAGACGCATGCGAACACCGCCACTGGGGCCTTCGGTGGAGCTCCTTGTGGGGCCACGAACGCTGTATTGCGCGGGGGAATGCATGCGAACATCGCCATTGGGGCTTTCGGTACAGCTCCCTCTGAGGGCACGAAGCGCTGCACTGGGCGGGGGAGACGCATGCGAGCACCGCCACTGGGGTCTCCGGTGGAGTTCCCTATGGGGCCACGAGACGCTGTGAGACGCATGCGAACACCGCCACTGGGGCCTTCGGTGGAGCTCCCCATGGGAGACGCAGACGAAAAAGGGGGAAGGAAGAAGAGGAGGAGGAAAAGGAGGAAGAAGGAGGTGGAGGAAGAGAGGAGGGAGGAGGGAGAACAAAGGACAGGACTGGAAGCGCAGGTTTTGCCGGTTCAAAACAACACCATGGTTGCGAAAAGACAGACACAACTATTCGACGAGTGTCCGGGAAACATGGGAATTTGTTTGAAAGACGAAATTCTATAACAATACATTGCAAATGTGCAGGATCCGCGGGGTTGTGCCGATTTGTTTGTGTGTCTACGGGCCCCTTTCAAAAAGGTCAGAGGGCTTCTGAGGAGTCCCGCCTCTTTGTGAGAAGGCCCGCCCCCTCTCTCGTTTCCTTCTCGGGCGCGCCTCGGGATTTCTGCCGGGGATCGTGGGCCCCCAGGCGTGAGTCGCGGGATTCTGCCCCCCCGCCAACGCGGGGCAAGTGGCGGGTGGGCGCGTGCGCTTTCGAGGCGGAGCTGTGCCATTTCTCATCGCAGTCCGCGCCTCCCTTCCTGCACTGCCCAACCCTTTGCCCGCGCTTCGTCTGTCCATATCCTCATGAGATTCCTTCTCCTCCTCCTTCTCCTCCTCCGGGTTCGGGTGTTCTCCCGCGCACCCGTATGCGTTTCCACATGGGTGAGAGTCCTTTTTGGCCCGGCCTTCTGTTCACACCCAGGTAAGTCCTGCAATGTTGCGAGGGTCGGCCGCATTCTGACCATGGGGGGAGGAGGACGGGGAGGAGGAGGAGGAGGAGGAGGAGGAGGAGGAGGAGGCGGAGGAGGAGGCGGAGGAGGAGGAGGGGGAGGGGGAGTGGGGGGGGCGGGGGGGGGGGAGGGGGAGGGGGGAGGGGGAGGGGGAGGGGGAGGGGGAAGGGGGAGGGGGGAGGAGATGGAGGAGGATGATCAGGAGGAGCTTGCCGTGTCCCCCTGGCGCGGCCGATCTGGTTTGGTGTTTCGACTCCTTGTCGATGCCGGGCACGTTCGGTGGGATCTTGCAACTCTTCTTCGGGCTCAGATGGAATCGGACATGGCCGCGTGCATGTAGCAGACAGCTACTCCGGATTCCATAACAAAGTGGGGGGGGTCACATTCGGGGGGGGGGTCTAATTTGAGCTGTCTTGGAGGGTTCGGGGGGGTCTGGGCAAAGGGCCGCCCTTTCATGGATAGTCTGGGGGGTCTAAAACTTCTCGTCTGGGAGGGTTGTGACCCCCTCCCTTTTATTACGAAATCTTGAGTATCATTCGATATAATGCGTGTGCTCGCCTCATGCGACAACTGGTTGGGGTATGGTATAGCGGGCTGCCGAGCCGATACTCTTATGTGCCCAGCCTGTTCGGGAGGGTTCGAGCTTCCAGATTTCAGTCTTGGCCGCAGATTATTATCCGAGCGGTCCGTCACCTGTTCTTCCACGCGTTCAGCCCGTGTTCCATTATCCGCCATTGTTGGTCATCATCATCGTCATCGTTATCATCATCAGCATCGTCATCATCATTATCACCATCATCATCATCATCATCATCATCAGCAGCAGCAGCAGCAGCCGCAGCATACTCATCACCATCATCACCATCATCATCAGCATCATCATCTTCATCATCATCATCATCATCATCATCATCACCATAATCCTCCTCATCCTCATCATCATCATCAGCATCGTCATCATCAGTCCGCGGCCCCAGGGGTGTTTTTTCGTTCGGAGGTTGATAGACCTGCTACCTTGACATGTCGATTGGCGGGTTGGCCGGTTTCGGTTCGCGCGAGAGCGTCGCGGCTGTCATTTTTGCGGGTCCAGGTCCGTCGGTTTCGGTCTTAGGCAGTTTTCATTGAAGGTTGGTTTACTAAAGGGAGGTTTGTCCACCGCCGAGTCGTCCCGGATCCATGTTTGATGACCCTTGGGCCCGATAACCGGCCCCGGAGGCCGCACTCCAAGAAGCGCCGCCGGATTGACAAAACTCATACCCTACAAGACCTCTTGGCGTCACCATCCCTCCCCCCCAGCTCCTCCTGCTCGGGTGCTGCTAGAAGTACCCTTGGCCCAAGGTGCCCCCAGGATTCTCGGCGTGGCCCAGGAGGCCTCCAGGGCACCCCTCACCAGGCCCAGAGGACCCCAGGGGCTCCAGCATGGAGCGGGAAGCTGGGGGCACCTTGGGCCAGGGGCCGTTCTAGCAACATCCGACCTGCGCTGCGCCCCGCGCGCCGCCCGCGCCCCGACACACGCCTCGCCGCCCCCCCCCCCCCCCCGAAGGCCGGGCGCCTGGACCCGACCCGCCCAGCGGACCCGCGAAAGGGAAAGGCCGCCCGCGGCCCGCCTCGGCCTGTCCGCTGCTGCGGATCGCCCCTCCTTGCCTAGAGGTCCTCCTCCTCCTCCTCCTCCTCCTCCTCCTCCTCCTCCTTCTCCTTCTCCTGCTCCTCCTCTTCCTCCTCCTCCTTCCCCTCCTCCTCCTCTTCCTCCTTCTCCCCCTCCATTTCTTCTCCTTCCAAATAACCTCCCCCTGTCGTACCCCGAGGCTAATTTCTATGGCGGGCCGGGCGTTTCGCCTGAGACTCCCTCATCACTCATGACCCTAAAGCTTAATTGGTTGCAACAGTTCTGCAGATGGAGGGCGGGTCGTCTTCAAAATGAGGCTCTCGCCCTGGCGCCGCGCACATTCGTTATACATTGCAAGAGCTTCGCGGATCGAGGGCGGGTGGTTTTCAAAATGGGGCTCTCGCCTTAGCGCCGCGCAGATACGTTGTAAACAATTACAGAGTTTCACGGATTGAGGGCGGGTGATTTTGAAAATGTGGTTCTCGCCCCAGCGCCGCGCACATTCGTTTTCAAAATTTGCAAGAGCTTCACAGATGGAGGGCGGGTGGTTTTAAAATGTGGCTCTCGCCTGAGCGCCGCGCACAGTCGCTTGAACGAATTTCAAGAGCTTCACGGATTGAGGGCCCAATCATTTTTCACAATGTGGTTCTCGCCATCGATTCTCATGATCGGGGTACCAGAAATGGTGTAGGTTCGAAGGGTTCACGATTATGAGGGCGCAGTTGTTGCGATGATTTCCCTATTAGGGGCCTATGAAGACGGAGCTTGGGGGAGGGTTTACTTCAACATCGTTGGCGACTCTTTGGTTTTCACTGGTTCTCCTCCTCCTCCCCCTCCTCCTCCTCCTCCTCCTCCCCCTCCTCCTCCTCCTCTTCTTTCTTATCCTCCTCCTCCTCCTCCTCCTCCTCCTCCTCCTCCTCCTCCCCGTCCCCCTCCTTCTCCTCCTCCTCCTGCTCTTTCCTCCTCTTGCTTCTCCTCTTCGTCCTCCTCCTCCTCCTCCTCCTTCTCCTCCTTCTCTTCCTCCCCGTCCTCCTCATCTTCCTCCCCCTCCTCCTCCTCGTCCTCCTCCTCCTCCTCCTCCTCCTCCTCACCTCCTCCTCCTCCTCCTCCTCCTCCTCCTTCTCCTCCTTCTCCTCCTCCTCCTCGTCCTCCTTTTGTTGTTTCTCCTCGTCGTCGTCGTCCTCCTCCTCCTCCTTCCAGGAGACGCGGTCCCAGCCCCGCGGCTTTCCTGGGGACCCTCCCCCCCTAGGAGCGCGCAGGAGCACGCACAGGTTCGCACAGAGCGCGCGTTGACTCGCTTTGATGCGCTCAGCTCAGGCACGCGGAGGCGCAGCGGCTCGACGAAGCTCGCAGATGCAGGGCAGCAGCGCGGATAGACGCGACACAGGCGCGTACGCGCGCGCGCGCCTCGGCGCGCTGCGGCGCGCAGGGGCGCGCGCGGGAAAAGGTGCTCCGACCTCGAGCAGCCCACGCCGCGCGAGGAGGACGGATCGTCCGAGGTCGCGGGGTCGCCGCCGGGAGGTCGCTCCTGGTGCCCAGGCGGCCGTCCGTGAGCAGTGCGTTCGAGGGGAGAGGGGCCGGTCTGCACGCGGAAGGTCCGATGGCCGTCCGTCTGCACGAACGAAATGGGCACACGGAAAGAATGGGCACAATGCCCAACAGCAGTTCTTGTTCATTCTGGGCAGGACTCGCTGTTGGTGTCGCCGCGGCCTCTGCCCATTTGAGACAGAAGGCCGCCTGCCCAACGGCGGCCGCTGTTGGTTTGGGACAACATTTGTTGTTGGGCATTGTACCCATTCTTTCCGTTCCCATTTCGGGCGTCCAAATTCCGGGGGGGCGGCTCTCGAAAAAGTCGAGGCCACGCAGGCTTCGAGTACGCCGGAATTCGGGTTCTCTCCTGCGCTGTCTGGACGAGTCCGCCCTGGAGGTTGGCGGTCCTGTTTTCGTGGGACGTCGGCAGCGGGAGTTTGCTTCAAATCTCAGATTGGGTCTCGCCATTCTCTTGACAGCCTCATCAGGCCAACCCGAGTTCCCCGTACCCGACTTTTCTGTCTCCCTTTAAGCCGGGCCTGTCCCTCTACAGGGGGAGCACTCAAACATAATTTTAAAATAATATGGAGACCAGTTTTTGAATCTTGTTTGGCATATTTTGAGCATGTGTTGAGCATGTTTTGAGTATCGTCCAAAATCTCCCTGTAGGGGGACAGGCCCGACCTAAGCCTCCCCGAACGTCGAGCGGGTCGCTGGAGGCGGGAGGGTGATGAGGAGGCGACTGCTCCGCCGCTGCAAGGGTGGGCTCGAGGCGCCAGCCGCCTCCCTCATTCCCGCGTCCTCGGGGGGCACGTTTATGCGGGCACGAGCGCACGGGCTTCGATGGCGTGACCGACGTCTTCGCCTGTTCGTTGTTCGAGGTGGCTTTCATCACGGTGGCCTTCCTCAGCCTGTTCTCGGTCCTTTCGGTCCACTACTGAGGACGGCGCAATTGCGCGTTTTTCAAACCTCTGGCCAGTACGTGTGCGGCTGGTCTTTGTCAGGACAAAAAACCTCCACTCCGTTCTTGCCGGGGCAGTTCGTGCAGGATCTGCCCCCCCCCCTTTCCGGGTGCGGCGCACTGCCCAGCGCCGCGTGCCGCGGCGTCGCGGTTCCCGTGTGTGGTGGCTTCGGCGTCGGCGATCCCCGGCGCCGTGGCCTCTGGCGGCGCGGTTTCCGGCGCCGCGGCTTTCAGTGCCGCGGCCCCGTGTCCAGGATCGAAGAAAAAAGAAAACGCTATAAACATGAAAGTTTGGCGCTGCGCGCGGATTTCCTGAATCCGCGCTGGGGCCCCCCAGCGGCGCCTCTGGCGCCGCCCCTGGCGCGCTCCGCGCGCCAGGGAGGGGGGTCCAGCGCGGATCCAAGAAATCCGCGCGGACTTCCGAGTTGTTATGTTTATGACACTTATTGTTTCCCTAAACACGCCACCACCCAGCGATGCTCCTGAGTCGATGAGAGGCGGGGGCCGGGCTCGGAGTCCACCGCGGGTTCGCCGCTCGAGCATTCGAAATTATGTTCGAGTGCTGGAACGCTCGAGCGTTTTGGGCTCGAGCGCCACAAATAATTTCGAGCACCGAGAAGAGTGCCGAAGCTCGCGGGTTTTCGCGTGGCGGGCCCTGGGAGGCAGGTGGTACTCCACCGACGCTGTGCCAATGCTTCTCCTGGGTGCTCGAAGGCTTGTCTCTGGGGCGCGGCCCTCGAGTGCGATGGGAGGCAGCAGAACTCCGGGCGCAGCCGAGGCAACGCGTGCGCACCTGATTGGCAGACGGACTCGCCGGCGCGGGCGCTCGCGCGCAGGCTCCCTCGGCTCGGGGGCGGAAGAGAGGGGGGTGATGACTAGGGGGGGTGGATATCAAGGCGTGGGCCATGATATCTCCCCAGATCTCATGGCGCCTCCTCTTGTTTCGTTACGTCCCTGGCCCCCCCGCTGGGCCGCGCACGTGCCGCCGGTCATGATTTGAACCCCCCGCTCTTGGACACCCCCCTCTTGGCCGCTCCCGAGGGCGCTCGCGCGCAGGCTCCCTCCGCGCAGTGCGGGCGCGCGATCGCCCAACAGGTTCGCGCCGCGGCGTGCCGCGCGTTGGCGGCGCGCGCAGGCCGCAGGCTCTGCGCGGGGCACGCGCCCTGAGCCCGCGTCTTCCTCGAATCGGCCGTGCTGCTCTGCGCCTCGGGCGCATGCCGAGGAGCAGTCTGGTAGTTTTGAAGCCGAGGGGGAGGCCTCTCGTTCCCTCTTCGATGAACCTGCTGGTGAAAGGGCCTCGCTCCAGCGAGTTGGGAGGAGGCTCGCGGACGAGGACGACGAGGCGCCCTTGATTTTCCCTCGCCCGTCTGGCTCAGGTGAGTCTGACTAGTCTTCGGGGCGGTGGGTGGCACAATTGGTGCTTCAGGGCGAAATAAACCTGAAGAGTCACCCCGCCCGCCCCGTGTTTTTCATGTTTGTTTTTGCCGCTTCTGCGGCGTCAGCATTCTGCTCAAAGCCCAGGATGCTGTGTTTTGCTTTCCCGACAAAGTTCATGCCCTGAAAGGGGACCGATGACGAACAACAAATCCTCCTCCTCTTCCTCCCCCTCATCCCTCCCCTCATCATCCCCACAGTGCCCCCCCCCCTCTCCCCCCCCCTCTCCTCCTCCTCCTCCTGGGCGGCCGCCGTCCCTTGCAGGGCGAGCGCAGAGCGGCGGATTTGGATGCGCTCGCCCGTCGGAACGGCGAGCGCCGCCATATCTGCGCCCTCGCGGTCTGTTTCTGATGGGGTGCGGTCCCGCCGATACGCCGTCGCACGGAGACGCTCTGCCAGCGGGGCATCCGCGAACAGCGCGCTTCGCATCCGCGGGGTCGCGGCTCGGGGGCCCAGCCCGCGAGGCCGCGGATGCGGAGATGCTTTGACTTCCGACAGGGCTTCTGTCAGGCGCTCCCCTTCGGCCTCGGAGTTCGATGGGTTGAGGCTGGCGCGTGCGTCCAGGCGACGGGAGGAGTCAGGTGCAGCGCCAAGGGTGAAAGCCTACTCCCACGGCGTCGGCGCGAATGGGAACGTGACCAGGGGGGGGGGATCGATAGGCCTCCCAAATTGGGTCCGAGTCGATGGGAGCGGTGGATGATTCAGCGCCGCCGTTGCATCGGGGATGCAACTCGGTGTGGAGCCCGACTTTTTCCACGCTGGTGTCGCGGATGTATCGCCAGCGTCGCCGATGTATTGTCGACGCATCGGCGATACATCAGCGATGCGGTGCGATTTTCCGACCCCATTTGGGAGGCCTCTAGGGGACGGCCCCCCCCAGTTTGCAATTAGTCCGGAGGAGGTTGCACTTGAACCGCGATGTGCAGTGGAGACCCATGTCAAGAAGCACCTTGCTTGCCTCCAGGGTGCCCTGTTTTTTTAGGTGTTCGATGGTTTTGCGATGGAAAGTGCGAGGTTGCCACACTATACATCGATGGACGTCCTGGGGTCTCCGGGTTGGGTTTCTCTTGGAAGGCTTCTTGTGGTCGAGCTCCTACTGTACTCACCTCCCATCCGCGCCTTTCCTCTTTCTCATTGGCAGGCACTCGTCGCCTCGGCCGACACATAACTCTGGAACCGAGTGTTCTCCGCCCGCGCGTCCCAGGACGCACCGCTTCTCGGCTGGGGGAGGTTCGGGGGGGGAAGAGCCGGTCACGGGGCGTTAGCTCGCGAATGATGCAAGCATCGGGCTCCTGGATGCAGCAGGAGCCAGTCTGGCCTCCCGCCTGCCTGGGCGCGGAGTGGAGCAGGGCAGGAGGAGGAGGAGGAGGAGGAGGAGGAGGAGGAGGAGGAGGAGGAGGAGGAGGAGGAGGAGTCGCGGCGACCACCCCGCCTGTGCGCCCTCACGGTGGCCGGTGGTGCGGCTGTGCGCGGGGTCAGGCAGTGGCGAGGCGTCCTGGCTCGCCTATAGCCCTACCAAGCCATGCTCTAAGAGGCTTGTGTGGTTCCCACGAAATGTTCGTAGAACACTTCTGGCCGGGACTGCCTTGTTTTAACGCATCGGGCTTATGTTCTAAGAACATTGATGTTGTCCTGCGAACATTGTTGGGTTTTAAGAACATTTCGTGGTAGGACCATGGGAATGCCGGGACGGTCGGTACCTGCTCATTGGGGTTGGCCTTCCGCTGGCACAGCGCGCTGGCGCGTCTGCCGAGACTTGGAAGGGGATCCTTTCCTCCTGATGATGACGACGACGACGACCACGACCATGCCCACGATGAGGACGACGACCATGACGACCACGACGACGACCACGACGACGACGAAGACGACGACGACGAGGACGACGACGACGACGAGGACGACGAGGACGACGAGGACGATGATGATGATGGTGATGATGATGATGATGATGACGATGATGATGACGATGACGATGACGATAATGACGATGATGCTGATGATGCTGCTGATGATGATGATGATGATTATGATGATGATTATTAGGATGATGATGGCAATGATGATGCTGATGCTGGTGATGATGGTGATGATGGTGATGGTGATGGTCATGATGGTGATGATCGTGGTGATAGTTAGGATGGTGGTGCTAATGATGATACTGATTGTCATGATGATGGTGATGGTGCTGATGATACTGATGATGGTGATGATGCTGCTGATGATGATGATGCTGCTGATGATGATGATGATCATGATTATGATGATATTGACAATGATGATGATGATGATGACGAATTGGAAGATATTCCTGCCCCTCACACTTTCTCCCTCAAATCCGACGACGCGAAACAGCTGCAACATAGCGAGCAGTCCAGACCAGAGCCCTAGACCCCATCTTTCTGCGTCACATCTCTAGCTGGACATATGCATGAGGCTCCTGGGGCCCGAAACCAGGCGAAAACGCCCGGGGTAAAAGAATTGCAGCGCTAGGATCTCAGTGCCTTTCTTTCCCCACATTCACGAGAAGGAGCGGGATCACCTCAGGAGGTGTTTAGTGTTGATCCCCCCTCGTTCACTTGTCGGTGAAAATGACTGGTCTGAAAACCTCTCCCTCCTTCTCCCCCCTCTTATCCTGTGAGCTAGGATTTCCGTGAGAGCGGTCCTGAGGCATAAGCAGTCGTCGTAGTCGCAATCGTAGTCTTAGCTGTCGTCGTCGTCGTCATCGTTACGCGGCGGGTGCCGCGGACTGGTGGGACCCCAGTCCCTCAATAAGGCCTCCTCCAAAGAATCAGTTACCCCCTATTCCTCCGCCTCCTCCTCCTCCTTCTCCTCCTCCTCCTCCTCCTCCTCCGCCTCCTCCTCCTCCTTCTCCTCCTCCTCCTCATCCCCCTCCTCCTCCTCCTCCTCCTCCTCATCCCCCTCCTCCTCCTCCTCCTTCTCCCCCTCCCCCTCCCCCTCCCCCTCCCCCTCCCCCTCCTCCTCGCGCCGCGACAATGAGGGCTACCCGATGCCGCCTCCCCGGCCCCGCCCCCGCGGCTTCCGCCCGGAGGCCGCGCTGGCCCGCCCGGCGGCGCCCGCGGAGGCGGCGCCCGCGGAGGCGGCGCCCGAGGGCGGCGCGGCCTCGGAGGAGCGGCGTGCCGCGGCGGCGGGCCGGGCGGGTCGCAGTCGCCGCCGATCGGGGCTCCAGGGGACCCGGGGGTCAGAGCAAACGGGGGTCGGCCAGGGCACCGGGATGCTGCAGGATCCTGCGAAGACCCCCTCTGGCTGACCCGGGTTCGCGAGCCGCTCGTGGCCGCGAGGCGGCCGCGCCTATTGGCTGACCCGGGTTTGCGAATACCTGCGTTGCAGCTTTTTTTCCCTGCACTGCAGTTTTTCGGTTTCCTGCTGACCCGGATCTGGATTCACCCGGGTCAGAAGATCCCCGAGCCGATCGTCGCCGCCCGCCGTCGCCGCAGCGTCGTCGTCGTCGAGGTCGTCGACGTCGTCTTCGTCCTAGTCGAGGTGGTCAACGTCGTCGTCGTCGCCGTCGCCGTCGCCGCCGTCGCCGTCGCCGCCAGACGGCGATTTCGACCCGATCGATCCGATTCGATATCAGCTCTGGCCGGCCCGAGTCGGTTCGATGCCGACCTTAAGGCGATCCGATGCGGCCTAATGCTCGCATGGCACTGTCGTGCATCTTGGTGCCGCCGATTCTGTTCGATTCCCACTCCGTGCCGATGCGGTTCGATTCGATACACGTTCTGGTCTGATCTGGTGTACCGATTCGATGCTGACTGTTCTTGCCAGTGCGCAATTTCCGTTCGGATAAGAAGGAAGATCAGGGGCAGCGTTATTAGGGTATAGGCCTAAGTCGGGCCTGTCCCTCTACAGGGAGAACTTCTAGTCATAATAATCAAATTAAGTCGGGGGATGATGTTTGACAATGTTTGATCATGTTTGGGGTTGTTTTCGAGTATTTTTAATTGTTTGCCCAAAATCCCCCTGTAGGAGGACAGGCCCGGCCTACGCATAGGCTCAGGCGGGGTGCATGGACTCCCGGGTGCCCAGTGATCGCCGCTAATATATGGGCCCGGCAGCCCGCCCCGCCCGGGAGCGTGCGGATGGGCCATGGGGGGGGGCATCGCCGATGTGTTAGCGAAGCATTTCGCGTTTTCCTCCCAGGATCGGGCCGGACGAAAGGGGGGGATAGGGAAAGGGGGGGTTACGAAATCTGCTGCATGCAGCTGGTTTCGGCCCCGCCGCCAGGCCCATTCCTCGATACATGGGCGCCTCCCGGCGCCGGGAGGCGCCGGGAAATCAGCTACGTGAGCTGATTCTCAAACCCCCTCTTCGCTATCCCCCCTTTCGCCCGGGGTGTAAAGGGCCCGAGTAGTGGGCTGTCCAGCCTTTATTCGGGCAGGTTCGACTGGGAAACGATTTTGGCATCCCTCCGTCCGCTCAGGTTTTTCATTTCTGGGGTGGGCGGATCGCGCGATTTGGTGGTTTGATCTTGCGAGGCGGTGCCCTGCAGTGGTCTCTCTCTGCGTTTTTGTTTTTGGGCGTTGCTTTGCTGAATTGGTTCAATGGATGCATGTGGCAACAAACAGCAAACCAACTACCCATCCTTCCATATCCCCCTCTTCCTCCCTCGCCCTCCATCCTTTTGCGCATTCTGGGCGGATCGCGCAGGGCAGATGTACTTAATGTGGATTTGGGGCTCGTTCGGGCGCCACCAGTGACATGCCTCGGTGGGTGCTTGGGGGACGAGGGGATTTGCCACCAATATCGGCACCGCCAGATTCGCAGGCGCACCGTTGCCATTGCATTGCAGTCGTTGCCCGTAGCCGTTCCATGAGTTTCTCGACCTCCCCTCAAACGCCCGCCCCAAAAAACAACGCAAACCAATTGAATGTCAGACGCGGCGCGAAGCACACGAAAAGAGGAACCGCAACGCAAACCATTTCGCACATTCGGGCCGAGATTTTCCGCACCATAGCTATTCAGTTCTAGTTGTGGGTATAACGTCCCGAAACAATGCCATCGCGCCGCGGGGGAACCATGCTTGGGCCATCCTGCCGCTTTGGAACCGTGTCGAAGATGTGCGGTGGCCGTCTTTGGGTATTCGGAATGTTTTGCCGTTTTGGAGCTGCGTTAGGGTGTCATGGGCAATTTGCTTGGGGACGCCTTCGGGTCTTCCGGAGAAAATGGAAAAACGCGGGAAGACACTTGGGTGAGGAGGTGGGGAAAGGAAGGTCGGGGGCCATGCCTGGGAATTGTCGCAGAGGGGGGAGGAGGGTTTTACTACAGGGATGCGTTGTTGTCCGGAGGTAGTTCGTTGAGCTTTGCCTTGCCCTTTTGGGCACTCCTGGTGGTTAACCTTCGAGGCGGGGATCAACGCAACTTTGTGGCAGAACGGACAGGGGGCATGTAAGAGGGGGTGGATGCAGAATTGGGGCCATTGCTCGGGCAGCTTGAGTAGACGGAGAAGGGAAATGGAGGAGGGGGGGGGTCAAATCTGGGAGGCACGGGTGCGTGTGAACTTGGAGTATTGAAGGAGGAAACGCTCGCAAATGTTTCAAATATGTGTTTTCGCTGTCCTTGGATATTGGCGCTGTGAACGACTTTGCGAACGCGTGGGTTTAAGATTTTGTTTTGTTTTGTGTTGTACAAGATTACATCAGGACGTTGCCATTAAGAATGCACGCTCGCGCGACGCATCGCAAGCGCGCCACATGCGTACCGCCAGGACGCCATGCGCAAAAACGCACCGACCCGTGCGAACACTTGGAAGCACGTGCGCAATCTGCAGGACACGTCCGCATGTTTTCGGTGTTCGTGGTGGCCGAGCTTCGCGTTGTAAGGGAGCTTCGGCGTGTTCCCGGCGAGCCCAGTAAATGAATTACTGGAAACCCTTCCCTGCACCCCGAGACGCGGCCAGCAATAACACCGGGAACGCGCGGACGCGTCGTGCAAACAGCGCGCGTGCATCCGCGTGTTCGCGCGCGTCGGTGCGGCGTTGTGTCTGTCGTGTTGTTTTGGTGTGCCCGTGGCGTGCCTGCGGCGTGGGTGCGGAAAAAATGTGCGTGCCTTGTGTTCCCGCATGTTTTGTCTCATCAGCGCGATGGAGGAGCAATCGTAAAAATCGTCTCCCGTCGGTCTGATGAGGGTCTTTTCGGAGGCCCCTGGAGGCCCCGGGAGGAGGCGGCGAAGGAGGAGGAGGAGGACGAGGAGGGGCGAGAAGTTCGGGATAACCTCCAATATGGCATTGTGTAACCCAAGTAATGGTCCCACGGAAGGGTGAACCAATCATGTAAATGTGCATTCTTGTTCCCCCCCGCGCCCCATCCACTACCAGGGGTGAAGGGTGAAACGAAAAGCAATAATGTAACATGACATTTTTGCTTTCTCCTGCCCCGTCCCTGCCCCCAGAGTGGATGGGAGAGGGCAACAATAATGTACATTTACATTATTGTTGCCCTCCCCTTGTGGCGCGGCATGGAACGCACGTCCCATTAAACCGCAAACGCAGCAGTTCAGACCCGTCGGGCCCTGAGGTGGATGCTTGCGTCGCCTCCCATAGGGGCGCCTTGCAGGCGATCGTCAACTCCCATGTGCCCTGATGTGCGATTGAAAATGGTCTTGTGTATTAGGTGGCTTTCCTGCGCTGCCATGTAAGATCGTCCGCAGTGACATGGGAAGCACGGCGGAACATCTACAAACATCTCCAAAACATCTCCGGAACATCTCCAAAACATCTCCGGAACATCTCCGGTTGCTGCTCGGTCGTCAGGCCACAGTCCGATCGAGTGGTGGCAGTCGAGCCAGACGATCGAAAAGCAAGCCGATGCGGTCCTTGTTGGCGTCGGGCCGAGGTTTCGTCTTTCGTGGGGTCCTTCGGAGCCCGGCTGACTTCTGACTATGGGCACATGCAGAAGGTCGTAGGAGCGCTGCCCAAAGCACGTGTTGACGAGGTCACCATGGTACAGTCGGGGCCCTGCAGAAGCAACCCTTTTCGTTGGGGAGGGGCTCCGCGTTCCTTAAGTGTTTCGCAGCTTGCCTCAGGTTTTCCTTATGCTTTCGATCGGAAATCGAAGTTTAACTCATGGAGAAAAGGGGCCTCGTTCCTTATTTTGGGTTCCTTAGGTCAAGCCCCCGACTGTAAACGTCCAGGCCCTGGCCTTCCCTACCTTTCCTCCCTCTGAGCAGGCCTGCCCCCCCTCATCGCCCCCCCCATGGGCTCGCCGCGGAGCCTTCTCCTGGATGGGGCAGTGTTCGCCCCCCCCTTCGGTCCGCGGGTGCGTGGGGGTGGGGTCCCGTGCTGTCGCAACGGGTGGAGCAGGGCTTGGATTGAGGAGGAGGAGGAGGAGGAGCAGGAGGAGGAGGAGGAGATGGAGGAGGAGGAGGAGGAGGAGGAGGAGGAGGAGGAGGAGGAGATGGAGGAGGAGGAGGAGGAAATGGAGGAGGAGGAGGAGGAGGAGGAGGAGGAGGAGATGGGGAAGAAGGAGGAGGAGGAGGGGGGATGGGCAAGCTCCGTCGCAAGGTCAATCACGGATCCGTCGGAAGGTTCTCGCCGTGTCGACCAGCGGCGTCCCCGCACGGTTGTTCAAAGTTGAGCGCCGCCGGCGACCCAGAACCGGTCGATGTTGAACGATCCGACGTTTCGGAGATGGCCGATCGTTCCTGTTTGAACGATCCCCGTGGTGTCAGAGACCAGCACCGAAGTCGGGACGACACGAATTTGCCGTACTTTCGGGGGCAACGATAGGGGGGGATAGGCATAGGGGGGCATGCAGCATGCATCGACCCACAATCGCCCCTTGATCGCAGATGGGGCCCGATAGCCCCAACCTGCCCAGGAAGCCCATCTCCGATGTATCGGCGATGTGTCTCGCCGATTCCAGGTCGGTGCCTCCCCCCTATTTCAGGAGGGGGAAAACTCACAGACACAGTGAATCGTCGATCCCTTAGAAAACATGGGAAGTGGGGAGGAAGACAAAAACCCAGAAAACACAGGAAAACATGGCAAGTCCTCTTATTTGTGTGTATTTATTCGTGTGCCCCAGGGCGCAGTCACTATCACTGTCCCCCCCTATCCCTGCCGCTCCCACTTCCTGCGGAGCAGCTTGCCCGCGCGCCCGCCCCAGGAGGACCCCGCGGCTGCTCCGCCGGCGGCGGCCGCCCCCGCGCCCGCCGACGCCGCGCCCGCCGCCCCGGCGCCCGTGGCCCCCCCGCCCGACGCGCCGCCGGAGCTCGGGGGCGGCAAAGAGGGGGGTGATGATTAGGGGGGGGGGAGATCATGGCGGGGGCCATGATCTTTCCCCAGATTTCATGGCGCCTCTTCTTATGTCATTGCGTCCCTGGCCCCCCCGCCGGGCCGCGCACATGCCGCCGGCCATGACTTGCACCCCCCCTTCTTGGACACCCCCCTCTTGGCCGCTCCCGAGGAGCCCCCGGCGCCGGCGGCCCCCGCTGCCTCCGCGGCCCTGCCCGCGGAGGTGTCGGCTGGCACGCGGCGCATGGCGGCGGCGGTGGCTCGCCACGGGTCGACCCCGAGATCTCACAGCATGTGTTATGTTCAGTCCGGCGGCTTCTCTTGGCCGTTCTCGGGCCGGGGGGCCCTCAGACGCAGATCGGGGACGAACAAAAACGACCTCCGGGGAAGGGGTCCGGACCTCTGGGGCCGCGGATTGAAAAACTCCTTCGGCGAATGTCTGGGTTGGCCTCCCAGATGGGGTCCGAGTAGGTGGGGTCGGAGGACTCGGCATCGCTCGGACGCGTGCATTTTTTCTCGGCGAGGACCATCGGGGAGCATCTTGGATCATCCTGCGAAACACTGATGACACAGACGCGCAGGAAGGCGAGACATACGCGGGGGATGGACGTCCGAGCGGTGCCACGGAGGAGATGGGGTCGGGGGGTTGCAGAGCATCTCCGATGCGTCGGTGATGCGGCTGGATGCGGAGCCCGATTTTCTCCGTGCCGACGTCGCCGCTGCATCGCCGATGTATCGGCGATGCAGCGCGATCCTCGGACCCCATCTAGGAGTCTTCTTATGAATGACACGAGTCCTTAGGATGTTTGCCATGTTTGTCTGTCCGGTGCCGTCGGGTCGAAGAAGAGAACATGCAGAAGCGTCAACTGATCGGCGCTCCGCGCGCATTTTCTGGATCGGCGCTGTAGCCCCTTTCAAGGCGCCTCCGGCGCCGCCCCTTGCGGGCTCCGCGCGTCAGAGAAGGGGGGTCCAGCGCAGATACAAGGAAACCTCGCGGATCTCCAAAAGTTTCTGGTTGTGCCAGTCGTTGTTCCTGTATCGCCATGAAGGAAGCCTGTCTTGAGGGGAACGGGTCCTGAAGTCTTTTCGTAAATTTCAGGCTTCCTGAAGCGTCAGAAAACGATCCAGAATCAAGAGTTGGTCCTGGGAGAAGGCCTCACCATGAACATCGATATATGAAGAGTTGGTCCTGGGAGAAGGCCCCACCATGAACATCGATCTGCTACACAATCGTGCCCGCTATTAATTCAGCGTTGTCTATCCTACGAATACGTGCCCGTTGCGAACTAATCGTTGACTAAATTTGCAGACAGCTCTGAAATATTCCGGACGCTCCGCGTAACCTCACCAGCTAGTTCTCGCACCGTTGTGGCCCTTTTCCGCCTTTCCTGTTCGGTTGGCCTGTCGTCTGATTACGGCGCGCAGCTGCCTGCGTCGCTCTCGATCAAAAAATAACTTCACCAGCCCTTTCCAGCGAGTTGCCCTGATCAGGGATATAGAGGAGCACGCATTGAAATAAGGGGTTCGCTGTGTGGTCATACCCCAAGAAGGGGAGGATTGAGGAAGTCTCGGAGGAGCATGGGGGAACGTGAGGAGTGGGACAGAAGAGGGACGAGGAGGAATAAGCGGACGAGTAAGAGCAGGAGGAGGAGGAGGAGAGGAGGAGGAGGAGGATAAGACAAAGATGAGGGAGGAGGGGGGGGCAGGGAGAGCAGAAAGACCAGAGGCCTTTTGGTTGCCTCCCGGATTCTCTTCGGATGTCTCCCGGGAGGTTCTTGGATTCCTTTTGGGGCGTCTTGGGGGCCTCGTTGCGGTCCTGGGGGCCTCTTGGAGCGTCTTGGGTGCTTCAGGGGTGCTTTTGGGGTCCATCCTGGGTTTTTTTTCGGAACCTCTTGGGGCTTCTGGGGGGCCTCCAGTGGCCTCTTGGGCGCTTCTTGGGACCCTCTTGGGAGCCTTAGGGCCCATCTTCGGGCCATCTTGGAGGAGATCGATCAGAGAATGGGACGTGCTGAAGGCACGGTGGCGGATGACGGGAAGCGCCCCTGGCTTGGACCGCTTGTCGGTGGTACCCAAGTTGGCGGATTCTTGAAAGCACCCGGCACCCACGTTGTTAGAGTTCTGAAAGCGTCCCGCTCTTGTCCGGGAAGTGTTTGCCATCGCTTCACTCGTAGCACACACACACACACACCAGTTACTAGCAGGTCGATGCTGGTTGTGGAAGGATCCAGGGCCCGTTTGCCTCTGGACCCGCCGCCTTCGTGCCAAGGTGGCGAACATGCAGATTCCCACGGTCTCCGCCGCCGCTGCCCTGCCCGCTCCCAAGAAGCAGGCGGAGCAGCAGGAGGACGACGGCCCCGGGAGGTACAGCGTCATCTCGGCAGGGCCGCTCAAGGCGCTCCCTGTGAGCAAGGACTACGCCCGCACCAGCGAGAAGGTGGGGGAGGTGGCGGTGCAGCAGGAGGTGGGCGTCCTGGAGGTGGCCGCGGAGCTGAACGACGGCAGGAGGCGCGCCCGCATCGACGACCCCGCCGGCTGGATCACCCTGCTGGACACCAACAGCGGCTTCCGCTTCGCCATGAAGCAGTCGGACACGCCTGCCGAGCCCGCGCTTCCTGCGGAGCCTGCTTTGAAGCCTGCTGTGCTGGCACCTCTGGAGGGAGCCGCTGTGAAGCCTGCTGGGATGGCACCTCCGGGGGGCGCTGCGATGAAGCCCGCTGGTATGGCGCCTCCGGGGGGGGCTGCGGTGAAGCCCGCTGGTATGGCGCCTCCAGAAGGCGCTGCGGTGAAGCCCGCTGGGATGGCGCCTCCAGCAGGCGCTGCCGTGAAGCCCGCTGGAATGGCGCCCCCCGGGGGCGCTGCGGTGAAGCCCGCTGGGATGGCGCCTCCAGGAGGCGCTGCGGTGAAGCCCGCTGGGATGGCGCCTCCAGCAGGCGCTGCGGTGAAGCCCGCTGGGATGGCGCCCCCCGGGGGCGCTGCGGTGACGCCCGCTGGGATGGCGCCTCCAGGAGGCGCTGCGGTGAAGCCCGCTGGAATGGCGCCTCCAGCAGGCGCTGCGGTGAAGCCCGCTGGAATGGCGCCCCCCGGGGGAGCTGCGGTGAAGCCCGCTGGGATGGCGCCTCCAGCAGGCGCTGCGGTGAAGCCTGCTGGGATGGCGCCTCCTGCCTAGGCGCCGGCCGCCACTGCGGACTGCGCTCCCGCCTGTGCATGGACGCCGGCCACGCAGGAGCCCACGCCCCGCACCGGCAGAGAGGAGGGCGCCAGCATCGGCACGATCGAAGTGGGTGCGGGAAGAATGGGGACCGAGGTTGACAGAAGCTTCCGCCCATTCTGAGGAAGATTTGTGGTCGGTGCCGTCGCGGGCCTGGTTCGTTTGAGACGGAGGGCCGCCTGCCCCAACAGCGGCCGCTGCTGGCTTTGGGCAGCATGTGGCGAAGGTTTTTATCCCTGGGCGACCGTTGCGGGCGTCCGAGCAGCAGCGCAGGGGGGGCGCCACCCGGGTCGGCGACGCGCGAGAGTGGTTCCGAGAGCACAACAAGAACTTGCATGCATGCCAGTCGTTGAAAGCAGGGATTCCTGGATTTCCAGATCACAATCTACTTCAAGCGCCTTCCTACTTCAAGGATCGATATGCGTCTGTTGTGTGTTGTTCTTCTTTGGGTGGCCCCGACCACAATCTACTTTATTCGCCTGGCTACTTCATGTTTCTACCTACTTCTTCCGACTGGCGTGTGAACACAATTTCGCAGAGATCCGCGCAGATTTCTTTGAAGTCCAGACCGCGAGTGCGCGGATACGGATATGGTCGCCGCCTCGAGATCAGCGCCTCCGTCTCGATGGGCCCGACTTGGGGTCTCCAAGATAACAGGGCGCAACGCAAAAACTTTCGGAGTCCCGCGCGGATTTCTTAGATCGGCGTGGGGCCCCCCTGGCGGCGCATCCTGCGCCGCTGTTGGCGCGCTCCGCGCGCCAGGGAGAGGGGTGCAGCGCCGATCAAACAAGTCCGCGTGGACCTCCGTTGGAGTGACCTTTTTGGTGCTGGCCCAGAGGGGTCCCCCCAGCGACCCCCAGCACCGGCTTGCGCGCTTGGATCTCACCCCATTGTGGCCCCCTGAAGCCACGCACCAAAGGTCATGCTTGCCCAGGGTCACTCCTGTGTGTGCAGCCGAACTGGGCGTTTCAGGAAGCAAGGCCCATCTCGATCTCATCAATCGGATCAGTTAGGGAACGCGCGCGTATCAACAAGTCAGGTGTTGTTCGTCAGGGGGCCTTGGGCGTTTCAGCTACGCGCGTTGCACCACTGCTTCCCGGCGGCGTGAAGGAATTGCGTTTCGTGTGCTCCAGAGTCCCCCACAGGTGCACCTCGCGCTCGGATGTTCAGTGTTGTGTTTCTTGGGAGGATGTCTTGCGTCCGCGTCCGCACTGTATCTTTGGCCAGTTCGATCTGATTCGATGCCGATAGTCCGACGATCCGATGCGCCCCGATCATTGTGTGGTGGTGTTGTGCATCTTGGTGTGGCTGATCCTATTCGATTTCGGCTCCGTGCCGTCCAACGCACATTTCGATTTAAGACGGCTTCTGGGTTCTATGTTGACCGGTCTTGCCATAGGGGGCGTCACACTCGGCGCATTTTCTTGTCGGCGGAAGGCGGCGGGTGCAATCCTCAGACAAGCACAGGGCAGGGACAAATCGGAACCAGAGATTCTGAGAGAGTTCGCCCCCCGAAAATGTAGTGTGGCGCGTTGAGTGTGCATTCGCAGAAGTAGCCAAGAGGAAAGTCGAGGGCGTGAGGACCTCAAAGGAAGCATTGGCGTTCATTAGACCTGTGAGGGCGATTGGGAAACGAGGCGTGGGCATCGGTAGCGGGGGCGCGACTTGCACAGGGGGCGCACTACGTTAGAGTGTCGGGCGCGAGCGCATTCAGGGCGGAGGGGCGAGCACATTGTGGTCGGGGCAATCGCCGCCCATGGCGTCTTTGCCCCGCAGCGGGGACGCGCGGCGACGTGCTGAGCGCAGCCGCAGGCAGATTTGAGATCTCGGAGCCGGGAATTCGGGCGCGCCAGATACCGTTGGCAGGTTGTTTCCCAGACAGGTTCGGCCAGTTCCGGGCATGTCCGTTCTTATGCATGTTTCAGTTTTGGTTGGTGTGCCAGATATTCTCAGAGAGTCCGAGGGGTTCGGACGCGAGAAAATCAGGTGCGCCCCAGTTTCCAGTCTTTTCGGCTCTGAACACCTTTTTCTGGCAGCGGCAATCCGGACCCTTTCGAAACCTTCCAGGCCTCCCCCCGCCCGCTCAAAACAGTTGGGGGTGGCAAGGATAAGTCACCAGGGCGGTCCAAGAGAGCTAAAAGACAGTTCGAACATTTCCACCAAGGCGGCCGAATATTGCCCAAGCAACGCTCCTGACGGGCCGAGCGGGCCCGAAGAGCACCTTCTTCAAAGCCCCCCAGGAAATAACAATCACTGTTATGTAGTTTTCGGTTTAAACTGAGCTTTCCCATATCTCCAGGAGGACCCCAGGAAGGACCACATATGGGCCCACGGCGGCTCACGAGGGCCCCAACAGAGGGGCTCAAACGGCCCAAGCCGTTCCCTTGAGAAACACAAGACGGCCCAGGATTCCCAAGAGGGCCCCAAGCAAGATGGCCCAAGATGGGCCCCCGACAGCCCCAGCACGGCCCCCTCAAGGTCAAGACTGCCCAAGAGGCTTCCAAATCGGACCGAAAACGGACCCAAGAGGCTTCTCCTCCTATAACGCTTCCAAAACGGCCACAAACGACCCCCAATGCTGTATGTCCAGCATGCGTCCAGAGGTTCCAGGACGACCCAGAGACGGATCGAAATAGCCCAGAAAGTCTTTCAGTAATACCTTCGAGAAGCCAAATCCATAGAATTCGAGGTGTTTTTTGGCCTTCGCTACACCGTGGTAATCAGCGTTGAAGAAGGCCTGAGGACTTTCTGACAGGTCGCCGGGATTCCAAAACTGAATTGCCGCAGATCCGATTATCAATCCCAAAGCAGCTCCTGGATCGTTCCTACATTCCTCATTGGTAACGTGCGATGTGCTTTCATTGCGTTTTCTTGCAGTGGCAAGTTATTCAGGTTATCTTTTCGTTGGTAGCTAATTGGTTAAATTGTCATTCATACGGCTGCAATGCCAGCTTGTGATGATTCAATGTGCCATTCATACAGGTTCAGGTGCCATCCTAAGTGTTCAATTGATTACAACGTGCACATGTCGAGCAACCCCTCACTATTGTTGAGTGGTTGCGCATGGGACCTCAGTCTTGTTATATAGCATAATTGATGCTAATGTCATCCGATGGGCGATAAGTTGTATTTTGGCATCAGTCAGTTAACCCAGCTACTGGAACTAATTCCTGCAAAGTCATAGTGGTCACACTTGGCTACAACTCCACGTTGCGCATGGATGTATCATTGCGGGTGGTATTTGCATGTTGCAATGGCTTAAATGGGAATTGGGGATCGTATGTCGGGCAGTCCAGATTTTAACATACGAGTCATCCGCATTACTTGTCGAAGAGTGAAACTTATAGTTCGAGCGAACGAATCGTATGAACCATAACGAATTATGCATGTGAGTGGTTAGTTTCGTGATTGTGTTACGCAGTAAAGAGTGTTTCTCAGCCGTCTAGTGTATGTACTCAGCGATCCGTTATGTGCATGTGGCGGTTGCATGGACATGTGCATAGCCATGTTGAGTTCATCGAATATAAGTTAGTAGCATTACCATTGCCACTTATAACTCCAGACTGCGGACACATATTCGACATTCCTGTTATACAATAGTATGATGTTTGTCTGTTATACATTAGTATGATGCTGGTTGCTCCCCTGGAGTCATTTAGTTTACTCATGTGCCTTGGGTATCGCGGGGGTGGGCTTCTTCATTGTTTTTCGCCCTTACGCTGTCTTCTTGTCGGGCGCCGTGAGTTCTGAATCAATCGCGGGAGGGGAAGCTTCAGACGACATCGTGGCCCTGGCGCAACCCGCTCGTTTGGCGCGTTGGTATACCGACGCCCCGGCGCGCGCCCAGCTCTCAGTTGGAAGCTTGCAGTCACCCCTACGGGATCTGGAGGATTTCCGACGCGCTCTCCCGCCCGATCCGATTTCCCGATTCGGTGCCGACGGATCTTGCCCCCTCCGTGCAGTGCGGCATCGATAAGGAGGGACAGGCTCAGGGGGGGAGCTGGAATCGGCCATGCCTTAGTGGGCCCTGGAAACGACAGGGCCGTTTTTTTACCGGTTCCGTTTTGCCTTTTTTTTGCCGGTTCCGACGCCGTTTTTTTACAAGTTCCGTCGCCGTTTTTTGACCGGTTCCGGCTCCGGTTCCCATCCTGGAGCCGTTTTTGTTGCCGTTTGCGGTCGCCGTTTTTTTGCAGTTTCCATTTTTAAGGGACACTGTGTGGAAACGGTGGAAAAACGGCCCTGCGGTTTCCGGGGCCCACAAATCACCACCCACCAAACCACCCCAACCCAACCCGAAGGCTCAGATTTACCCTCGATTTCTAGTGGGGAGGGGTCCGGGAACATCGAAAAAACACATATGGATCCCGTACCCCCCCCAACCCGAAATTCGGGTCTTCGGGTTGGGTTGGGGTGGTCTGGTAGGTAGTCAACAAAGGGCCATGCATCGCGGACAGATCGGCGACGGGCCCCCGACGGCGAGCCCGCAGGTTCCTGGGCGGGGCGGGCTGCCATTCAGTCGGGCGCGTCCCTCGACAGGAGGAGTATTCAAAAATAGTCAAACAATAATACGGGGACGTTTTTTTCGATTCGTTTCAGCATTTGTTGATATCATTTTTCAGCATTATTCCGACCACTGTTGATTATGCCCGAGTATGTTTTGCGTAGTTGTTCTATCTGTCGTCAAACATGCGCCTGTAGGGGGACATGCCCGGTCTAAGGCTATCAGGCCATTATCGGAGACTTATCGCCTATGCGAGCTCGATGCTTCCCCCCCTGAGCCTATCCTCCGTATCGTTGCCCCCTCCGCATCCCGGCCGCACCTTGATTAGCCCGATTACGGTTAGCGTCGATTAGCGTCGTGGCGATTCGCATGGGCCGAGAAGATGGCATTGTAGGTTCCCATGAGTTGCCACCGAAGCCTCCCGCTTTCCCTGAGGACAGCACAGCCCACCTCCACCCCCAGGCAGGACCCCCACTCCCGGACTTGGTGATCCAGGGGGTCCTGGCTTGGTCAGGGGTACTTGTGCTAGAACAGAACCAGCCCAGTCCCCAGCCAAGACCCCCTGGATCACCAGGTCGGGAGTGGGGGCCCAGGCTGGGGCTGGGGGGGGGCTGTGCTGTCCCCGCGCCTCTGCGTCGTCCTTCGTCGTCGATGCTGTCCGTCGTCGTCGTCGTCGTCGCTCCTCGTCGTCTGTGCGCCGCCCACAGTCCTTCGCGGCTCTGCGTCGTCGTCGACGTTCTTCATTCGTCGGGGAGGGCCGCGCTGTCCTCCTCAGCACGGGGGAAACGGGTCCTGAGGGAAACGGGTCCTGTACCTTGAGGCCTTCCCCCAGGACCAGTTCTCCATCTTGAGTCGCTTTCTGACGAACAACTTTCGGACCCGCTTCCCTCAGGACCCGTTTCTTCCGCTGCAACTCTTGGGAGGTCAAATTCTGATCATGCTTTGGCCCGAAGTCCAGCTAATCCAGCTGAATCCCGCTGCATCCCGATTAATCCGGCCTGATCCCGCTTGATCCGAAGCCCATTTTGGCGTAACCGCCTCGCAATGGGGCTCAAGCCTCCTTTATCTTTCCGACGAATACCTCCCAGCAGTTGCTTCCTAGCGTTTCCCCTTGAGGCTCGCTGAGGGGCAGCGAGCGCGATCTGTGGTTCTGGGGCGACGGGGGAGAGGGTAATGCTTTCGTCGGGCAAGAGCAAGCATGAGCAGCCCAATCGCGGGCAAGAGCAAGCCTGAAATCAGAGCTTCTCGCGAAGGGCGGCGGTAAGGATTGCTGTTGACCGATCAAGCGCGCCCGCCGAGCGTATGGGGATCTGGCCCTGGAAACAACGCTGCCCCCCCAGCGACCTTCAAGTTTCCCCCACGGCGACGCCCCCCCCCCCCCCGCGGCAGCGCCGGCAGGAGTGGCCCCACGCCAACTGGCGGTGCGTGGGGCAGCCTTTCTCGGGGGCAGTGAGGGGTCCGCGGGCTCCTCGGGCGGCGGGCTGTGCCCTCGCAGGGGGGGGATGGGGCGAGGAGGAGGAGGAGGAGGAGGAGGAGGAGGAGGGGAAGGGTTTAGGGGAGGAGGAGGAGGAGGAGGAGGAGGAGGAGGAGGAGGAGGAGGAGTACAGTACTCAGTACTCAAGCCCTTCAAGACCATCCACTGACTGTTATGCTCTGGCTCGGGCTGGGGCTCGATAGACATGGCTACGCCACCCATGTCGACAACTTGCCATGCTGGCAACCATGCTGCTACCGCAACACCTTACAATCTGCTGAATCTGCTGCACATACAACAGCTGCTCTGACAAACGAAGAGTAGAATACAGAGAGACATGCAACACCACTGAAATGCAATACACCGCGCACGTGTGCGACATGACTAAGGAAAGCATGCAACTGCGAGCGATACACATGCAACGAGAAGATTACGAAGGTGCGGGCAGCAGGCTGATGGCCTGCGGGAAGCGGCCCAGCGCGAGGGCGTGGCCGCAGGTTTGACTCACTCACTTACTTCTTGCCCCCCCTGCGTTTCCCGCCGAGCTGGCGGGCCATGTTGTTGCGAGGGGCTCGACTCATCTTCACGTCTCCTCCCATCCCCCGCAGAGCCTCGCTGATCAACTGTTCGACTGGAATCCAGAGCCCTGGGATCTGCATCATCTCTGACGGGACCTCCACTGGGCTGATCATGAGGCCTTTCACGGGGATGTTGGGATCCTCGGGGTTCTCCTTGAGCTTGGCCTCTAGCTCGGCCGCGGCCCCGTCCTCGTACGGTAGGAGCATGTTGCCGTGCAGCGCGAACGTAATGCGACTCTTCGGCGTCACCCCTGGCTTGTCGTACGTGGGGAGCGCCACTAACTCTCGAATCCATGATGCCATCTGAACTGGTACCGATCGTCCCATCATGAGCGCAAACCTTTTGCAGCCTGCTACGACCGCTTTCATCCGCGGTGAAAAATCCTTGAAGCTGTAGTTCTCTATAACGGCTAGAAGTGCGAAAAGGGCTTGGGACGCGGGGCTTGCGAGCTCCTGCTTGCCTTTGGCCTTCTCCTCCTTGGTGCTCTTGAGGTAGTCCTGGAAGGAGTTGTTGATGGCCTCGATCGCTGCGGACTTGCAATCGATGGTCGCGGTGGAGAAGGCTGCATTCTCGAGGCGCCTGACCCTGGCCTCGAGCTGGATCAGAAGGGCGTCCCTGGTGGAGTTCTTGTCGTGCAGCTCGTCTTCCTCCTCATGTCGCCCCCCTCCGTCCTGGCCTGCTTCTGCTGCGGTCCTGATCTTCCCAGCGGGATCAGCGCGCGTGGTCTCACCAGTCCCGAGCTTGACCCTGCGCCCTCCATCAAGACGAACGTGAAACTTGGAATATATATATATATATATATATATATATACTCACGCACATGAAGAAAAAGGTGCTCGAGATATGCGTCTACGGATTCAAGCTCTTCCAGACAGATGCGGCACTTCATGTTGGATATTTCTTGAACTGCATTATCATATCTACCACGACTATAGGGGCAATATTGTCTGATCAAGCTCTTCTTTGTGTGTTGTTGTGCTACTGTGCGGTCACGAAAAACACTCCCACATATGGTGCACGTGTTGGTCGGGGTACAGATCCTTGCTACATGTAGTTGACCATGAGTACCACCTTTTGTAGAGGCTATGTGTGCTATTAATTGTTTTCTGGTGGCCCATCGGGCGCAGCATTGTGCCCCGTCGTCCAGAAACTCTCGGCAGACGAAATCACCTTCGACCCCATCCGCTTGAGTAGCTGCGCTGGTGGCAGCTGGCGAGAGAAGGAAATGAGCGCGCAGCTGTCCGACATCAAGTGCTTGAAATTATTCGCTGATGCCGGGGTCAAACATAATGGCATCAAGGCGACCCTCTGCCTGCAATAAAAGATCCTCGCCAGGCTCTATGGCCCCAAGAGAGTCTATGTCCTGCTGAAGCTGAACGGCCCATGGGTGCTTCTGAGGAGGAACACGACCTTCTAGTAACACATCTCCATCTACTGCCATAGAGCCTAGCATAGCGGCCCAAAACTAGCCATGCAACTCTCTGGCTTTGCTTAATTCCTGATACCACTTAAGTCGTCGTAATCTAAGCTCGAGAGATAGAGGCCCCACTCCGACCTTCTTGAGGACCTGATAAGACGTGAGCGACTTTGCGTGCCCCGACTCCCAAGTGCAGGTCCCAGCCAGAATAGCCCTACACTTGTGCACGACGAACGTTTCGAGAACCCGGATATCCCTCGGCGAAAGGGGCCCTTTGGACTTGGCCCGGACTTCCATCCCAGAGAGAGCATTGTTGATCAAGAGGCCTTTCACAAGATTCACCTTGAGCTTCCAAGGCGCGGTCGAGAGCCAGAAATTTCCCATCGTATAATAACTTACTCGGAGCGACTCCAAGTCGCTTCCCAACTTCGGGAGCAGGCGGAAAAGTTGATGAAAGATGCCCTCCGAGGTATCGCGCGTGATGTCGGCACGCTCCTGCGATATTCTTGCACTCGCCGCGATGCAAGAACCTCGTTAAATTATGAGCGCCCGTGCCTGCAAGAAATACGACGTTCTCCTGGTTGGAAACGGTTTGCACTGCTCCCACCTCTCCCATCCCGCCTGATACTGCTTCGTTCTCGGCTGCTGATCCTGCTGCTAGCTGCTGAATAGCGCCCCCATTCCCGATCTCCAGTACTTTGTTGGCGATGTCGTCGACAAAACCTGTGAGCGCAACTTGCCGCGCGTCCACGCCGTGCTCGTCCCACGGGAGCCGTGCCTCGACAGCTACGTGCCGCCCGTGCGTGCAGAACTGATCGGCAACGTGCTGCATCATTGGCTGAGAAAACGACCGCACAAATAGTAGAGTAGCTCCAGTACCTCCAGGAAATACACCTGTCCCAGGACGAAGCCAGAAACACCCTGATTCATCTTGAAGTTTAAACACACCCCTGGTAATCCGATCTTCGATAACCCGAGGTCTTCGAACATATAGATCGTATCTGCGGAATCAAGTACAACATAATGCTTGAGCGAACAACAACGCGTTTGACGCATCATGGCATCGTAGCACATGTGATACTCCTCCTTTCTGCATTCGGTAGCTGCTGATGATCTGGACTGCCATGGCTGTCTCACGACGCCGACGCTTTAGGCCACCATAGACCCAATCTGGAGGAGTCCAGGGATTGAGTTTTCGGTGAAGGGCTCCTGCATTGAAATTCCTTCCCCGGGTGCACATAACCATGATGATTCGTTCTCAGTCGCAGTCCAGCTTACCATTCTTGGGTAGCCTGGCCGCCTGAGCAGCATGCCAGGCAACGGGCGTGCGCCTCCAACGCCGACAGGCAACAAGTAGCTTCTTGAGAAGTTCTGCAGAACGATTCTCTGGAAGCTCCACTTCTCCGAGTCCAATGCCTGCTCGCGCTCTGGGTCGTCGATCATTGACCCGTGTCGGGCGAAAAAGAAAACGCAATAATTCTGGTGGGCAAGGCCATTCGGGCCAGGTTCTCCACAACCTAAGCTTCCAGACTGCCCGAGACATTGATTCGACATCTTCCACAGCCAAACCGATGGCCTCGAGTTCTTGCCTGGGTTCCCGAGGGAGGTCCTGCACTTCTCGCTGAATGGTCTCCAGGGGAGGACTCCGTGGCGGAGCAGCCGCCCCCCCTAGACGAGAGCTTCATACGTTCGGCCCACGTCGAGGCCGAGGCTGCAGACTGAGGTAGAGCACGGTACTGTCTCCTGCGGGGCCCTCGCCCTTTGCCGGCCAGCACGCGGGATAATGTATGTGCCACGTAGTAGTTGCGCTGCTCGAGAGCTTGCTCTAGTTCGGCTACCCGCCTGTTGCGAACGCCCTCCCAGTATTTCCGAGCCGCACCCCTGAGTTGGCGACTGGGTTGCTTGATCGCGTCGGTCATTTGCTGGGCGACATAATCGCTAGTGGACCTGCCAAGCAGTTCACGCTGTCGTCTTCGCTGCTGCAATAATACACCCAATAGCTGTGCGCTAGCAAGTCTCTCCTCCGTGCACAGCGGGGAGTTAGTAAACGCTTCGCAGGCTGCTGAATTGAGCACTCTCATTAAAGTAGAGTTCATGTCGTCCACTTTGCCCTCCTCGTACATCCTCTTGAAATCCTCCATTACCTCCTCCGCCTTCTGATTCACTACATTGATGAACCCCTCCCGCTTAAAACCGCGATTGGGCCGAGCTGGCCGCTCGGGAAGAGGAGGGGTGGAGGCGATGACGTGTGCAACTAGTACAACTGGCCTGTGGTCCCTGGCTGAAGCCGTCTGGTGCAATTGCAGTCGCCTGGCGCTTCCAGCGTGAATTTGGCAACTTTCATCTGCGGGAAGAAGAGCGCGAGGGACCCCCACATGCTCGATGTGACTTTCTCCCGTCTCACCGACGTAGGAGGCAACATTCGGGAAGAAGGTGTTCGCGGCAGAGAGGTCCCAGGCCTGCAGCACGGGGCGGATCGCAGCAGAGGCGGGGCAGGGGTTGCCGACGCCGTGTTCTCCTGCAACATAGTCATCTTCAAAGTGCCTGAGACCTCCATTGAAGTCCATGTACAATAGGGGAAGTGCATGCTTGCTGTCTAGAAACCAGCGTATTCTGCAACCATGCCACGAGGGAGGTGACAGTTTTGTCGTATACCTGCTTCTGTCCCGTCTTAGAAACACGAGGTGGAAAACACAGCCCAATCATACCAAACGCTTGCTCCTGTTGCCTGACTAGAAGACATCCTGCTCTTCCCCACAGCTGCCTGGGTACTGGCAGAATTCGTTTTACAGCATGCTTCGGGAACCGACTCTTCTTCAACAGTATAGAAATCCTTCACGATGGTGTGACCAGCGGACCTCTTTTGTAACCGAACTGATAACATCAAAACGAATCCACAAATCTTTCTGGATCGACAAGCTCGCCTGTGCTGCGCAACTGCGTCCCGCCTAGCACGATGGCGCCGTGGGAGGGGCACTCGGCGGCTATGTCTGCAATCCTGGCGACGCGGGAGGCCGCGCAGGGGTTGAAGCCAACGAATCGAAATAATCCAGCGTTCATGAGCGAGTCGACCTCGGGCATGCCGCCGCCATGACTGCCAGGCGTGAGAGCCCTGTCGAGTGTGAGATCTGAGTGTGGCGTGAGGTGGATCTCGCTCTCTCATCACCCGGGCCACCTGCAGGAGGAGGAGGAGGAGGAGGACGACGATGAGGAGGAGGAGGAGGAGGTGGAGGAGGAAGAGGAGGAGGAGCAGGAGGAGGAGGAGGTGGAAGGTCGAAGCGGAGGAAGTCGACGAGGATGGGGGGGAGGACGAGGATGAGGATGAGGAGGAGGAGGAGGAGGATCAAGGAAGAAGAAGGATCAGGAGAATTACAGGAGGTGGGTGGTAGCGATGGGTCAGGGATGAATCCAGGTTCTGAAAAGAGTGAATCGTGGACAAGTTTGGATAAGAGGAGGGGAGGAGTTGGGAGGAGGCCGATATGGAACAGCAAGAGTTCGAGGTAGAGGTCATTTGTAGAGGCCATTTGGGGGAGGACTTCTCCTCGTCGTCCCCTCCGACCTTATCACTCATCATCGTTCTCATCGTGTCCTCCTTTCATGATGAGGACCACCCTCGTCCTAATATACGCTATTTTCCTTGCCTCGCATTGTTCTGCTTAGCTATTGCGCGTTTTCTATAATGCTATCCCAGTTGGCTGCGCCAAAGTTCCGATGATCCGAACAGAGAAGGACGCACTCACTTGACACGTTGCCGGAATCTCCAACTTGATGTGTTCCCTACATGTAAGTCGGGCATGCCCTTCTACAGGCGGAATATAAACAATAATATAACAATAGTCTGGAGACGATCTGTCTATTCTTCTCAGTCGGTCTTGAATATCTTTGGACCAATTTCAGATTTTCGCCCCAAATGCGCCTGCAGGGGGACATGCCCGACCTAACCCTGAAGTCCCCACTGCGCGATGCTGCAGTCAAGGATGCCGGCACCAGTCCACCAGGGCCCGCCCGCAAGCCCGGCGGTCGGATGTTGCCAGAGGTGAACCCTGCCCAGGGTGACCCCGACCATCTCAGCGGGGCCCGGATGGCCTCCACAGCTCCCTCACGAAGCCCAGAGGGCCCCAGGGGCTCTACAGTGGTGCGAGAGGCCGAGGGCACCCTGGCCTGGATCACCTCTGGCAAAACCTCCGTGCACGCGAGCATGACGCACGCGAGTGGCACGGCCGAGTTGCGCAATTATGACAGTTGCAGGGGTTGCAGAGGCACACGCCCGTGCAAGCGAAGATGCTTTAACGCCGAACCCAAACGACGGGTCGGAAGTGGAACGTGCTTGATGTATGATCCAGGACGCCTACGGCGAATCACCGCCGCCACCTGCCTTCTGGAAGCGGCTATAGGGCCAAGCGTTGTGGCCAGATCTCGGCCACGCTGTCGGACTGAGTGTTTCCCCAGCCGTTGTGGAAACCCTTCTGGGAACACTTTGGGGAGGACGAGGAAGCGGACGAGAGGGAGGAACATGGAAGAGGAGGAGGCCTCTCCTTGGGCCTCTTGGGGGCGGGCGTTGTGCACTTTCTGGTCGTCTTGGGCGTTCCCGGCACGTCTGACGCCGTCGGATGCCGTCTTGAGGTCTCGTTGGGCCGACTTGCGGTCCTCTTGGGGCGCTTCGGGGCTCGCTGGGAGGCCATCCTGGCGAAGAGGAGAGGAGGGTGAGAGGGAGGGGTCCCTACTCAGGGTGTCCAGCGAAATCAAGGACCCCACTTAGGATGTGGATCCAACTTGCTGCAATTGGATGAGATTGGCCTCTTGCGCGGGCTCCCAGGGGTTGAACACGGCCCAAACACCCCCAAGAAAGCCCAGGACGCATTTTGTGGGCCGTCGTAGGAGACAGTGTGGACTCCCAACCGGGCCTTCAAGGCTTGGGGAACTGTCGCGAGGGGGGGGCCGAGAAGCGGCCAGACGCGCCCAGGGATTCGGTCATACGGGGCCCGGGGACGTTTGAACAAGCAATGGCACGATGTATTCAGATGCAGCGTGCTCGAAGGGACTTGAGGACGCTCCGATTCGTGCCTCGGGGCACAGTGGCGGGTGGACTCGCGGAGGTGACAGACGCGTTTGCCAAACGGGTGGCTCTAACATACCATGAAACACATGATGTGCAACCGTTCCGCGACACAATTGGCGATCAGACCATTTGCGTCACGTGACATGGAAGCGTTCCTTGCTCAAGTTCCTTGACATCGTAACGGGCAGCGAGACATTACAGACGTACGTGGCATGTAAAGTGGCGGTCGGAATTGATGCGGGAACTGTCCCAGGCCACCGCAGCACACGTTGCATATTGCAATTGAGGCAAATGCAGACACATTGACATAGCAATCGTTCAATTCACGTGGCAGTCGCATGTGTTGTTCACAAGCGTTGCACGCGTGCAGGAAGACATGTCGGTGCAGAGAGGTGTTCACCATGAGCAGGCACACAGAGCGAACACGAATAGGCTACGTGAATGACGCAGACATGCTACATATGAAGAGGTTGCATACACATTGCGTGGCCAGCCTGAACGAGAGAGGGATGATTTTCCAGCGCTCAGCCTTCATATGGCCACGCACGTTCGCCCTCCACATGTGCACTCAGCAAGTCGCATTCACATGTCCCGCATGTGAATTCAGCTTTTTGTGGTTCCAGCTTCTGTGCACCTAGAACATATAGATATAGCAGCATAGCAGTTGTTTGCGGCGTTCGAAGCATAAAGCACTCCTCCAGGGTAACACGAGGCCCTGCGGGAGCCAACCATTCGAGGTACAGAGCTTGTTGTATGAGTTGGTGGCTTTTCGGGTAAAGCTCAGACACACGTCCGTCGTACTGCTCGGGAGCCTCCCAAAGGGGATGGTGGTGGACTTGCTACGCTCTTTTTTCAGTGCGCTGCTGATTTCGCATGCGAACACGAACGCACTGCAGTGTTCGTGCGAACCGCTTAACTTTAGCACCAGCATCTAGTTATGTCCTTGAGTGGCCTTGCCTCGGCATCTGTCAGCACTGATTTTAGATGCGCCATGGGGTGATCAGTTCACGTCATGCTCGCTTCAAGCTTCACTTCGTACTTTGACGATACTCATGTTCAAGCTGAAGCCAAGCACATTGACAGCAACGTATGGACTCTTGCTAACACGTGCCACCTTGCCTGTCCACAGTTCATGTTTGGCCTGTATTGCATGTTCGTTGAAAACATGCCCTTAACAGATCAGTTCTACAATTGGCCAGGGCCAGTGTTCCCATTTGTCTGTTGTCATTGCGCCTTGGCTTTATCGAGCAGTGTGCCAGTTTTCGCCAATTAGCGCTCAATGCGCTCTTGACGTCAGCTATCGGTCAGACTTGTGCTGCTCGTTGACTGCCGTGGGCTGCAGCGGCAAGAAAAAGGCATTGGTGGTCGGGAGGTTGTCCTTTTACGCCGACGTCGGACGGGATGGTGGGCTCTAAAGAGGAGGAACCGTGGGCTTCCATCTTCGTCTCCAAATTAGGTGTCCAAGGGCCCTGCATCCTTACCGCGCATACCTCTGATCTGGTCGGACTGTATCTTGGAGCCTGTGGGTGCCGGTTGCGCCGGATGTTGGTGGTTCTGCGGCGTCTTGTGACCGCTCCAGGGCGGTCTCTGGCTGCCCTGGAGGCCGAGAAGCGCGCTCCGGGGGGGCGTTCTCGGGGAGCTCTTGAGGTCCTGGGCCGTCTGCTGGAATTCTGGAGGCCCCTCAGGCTCTCTGAATTCTTCAGGCGATGATGATCGCTCGTCTCGGTATGGACCGGATCGATGCCTTGCTCCAGAAGGGGGGCGGGGGGGGCGACGTGAGGGCGCGAAGACAACCGCGCGCTGCGATGCGCGAAGTTCGGTGACCTAGGAAAGCCGCCGGAGGCGAACTCTAGCAGAAACGCCTCATAAGCAAAACAGCTCTTTTCGGCGCCCCTCCCCACTCTCTCCCCCCCTTCCTCCCGGCGCTTCTGAACGTGAGTACATCTGCACGTTCGGCTGCGCGCCGAAGGGGCAGGTGGGAGGGGGCAGGCCTTCTGAGACGGCGGCGGGTTTTCTCAGATTTCCTCCAGCTGTCCGAGGAAGCCCTGAGCGACTCCGGCGACGGCTCGGCAAGCCACGCCTAAGAAGGCTGGAGGCCCTCCTGAGTCTTCTCTGAGTCTTCTGAGAAGGTCGGGGGTGGACAGAACCCCCAACAGTGACACGTCGATTCGTGAATTGTCCGTTTTCGGTTCTCGATAGGACGCCGTGGCCGTTATTTTCCAGGCTTGCGCCCGCCAGGTTTGGGCGCGAGGTCGTTTTCACTAAACCACGTTTTTCTCAAGGGAGGTCTGTCCATCCCCGAAAGAAGGCTGGAGGCCCTCCTGAGTCTTCCCTGAGTCTTCTGAGAAGGCCCGCCCCCTCCGCCTTCCCCCCCCCCCACTCGGCGCGCCGCCCACACGTGGTCTTGGATGTCTGTTCATGGGAGTCTTGGGCGGCGGCGTCGAGTGCATGTCTTCCTGCACGTGGACCGCGTCTGGGCCGCACTTGGTCCGTCCACCTCTCCCTCGCCCTTCCTTTTCCTTCTCCCCCTCGTTCTTCTCGTCGCCCCTGTGAAGGGGCGAATCCGGTCCAAGTCTGGTCCGATTATCTTGGCGAAGGACCCAGCTATATGCAATCGTGGGTACCGCAGCTGTGAGTCTCGCCTTCGGTGCAGCCCCCTGTGGGGCCACGAAACGCGTGAGCGGGTGTGCCGAAATGGGTGCAGTGGCACCATGCGAACCTTGCCTCTGGGGCCTTCGATGGAGCCCCCTGTGGGGCCACGAAACCTGTGAGGGGCGTGCCGAAATGGGTGCGGTGGCACCATGCGAACGCTGCCACTGGGCCTTCGGTGGAGCTCCATGTGGGGCCACGAAACCTGTGAGGGGTGTGTCGAAATGAGCGCGGTGGCGCCATGCGTACCCTGCCACTTGGGCCTTCGGTGGAGCTCCCTATGGGGACACGAAACGTGTAAGGGGTGTGCTGAAACGGGTGATGACGATGATGATGGTAAGACGAGGGGGGAGGGGGCAGCGGGAGGAGTGACGCGGGGCGCTGTCTCTTCAGAACGAGGACCCAACACCACCACGGGATGGTTGGGAAAACATGTGCTCCAAACCCAGCAGTTACAAGCCGTTCATGCCCAACCCGGACCGCGCCGGGGGCCTTGGGAGGCTCCCACGGAACAAACACCAGAGGTTGTCCTCTCTTTCCCGCGCGCCGCCGAGACTTTCCACCATCCGCCGAGCGCCCTCTGAGAGAGAGAGAGAGAGATGAGGAGGAGGAGGATGTGAAGGAGGGGAGGCGGACGCGGAGGAGGAGGAGCGGAGGAGGAGGAGGAGGAGGAGGTGGAGGAGGGGGAGGTTGAGGAGGAGGAGGAGGAGGAGGAGGAGGAGGAGGAGGGAGGGGGAGGGGGAGGAGGAGGAGACGACCGTAGAAGAGGAGGAGGACGAGGAGGAGGAGGAGGAGGAGGAGGAGTAGGAGGAGGAGGAGAGGCCGCACGGAGCGCGCGACATTCTCCGAGCACCGGGTGCGGGGGCTCGAGGCCGCGGCTTCGGCGCGCGCGGGGCGGGTCCGGGGGCGCCGCGCCGCAGCTTCGGCGCGGCCCCGCGCCCCGAGGCCGGGCTCGCGGCGAGCAAGCAGTGGCGAGGCGTCGCGGCTTCCCTACGGGCCCACCTGGGAGTGTTCTGCGAACCCTGGGCGGCTTGCACGAAAGGTTATTTTCGGGGGTGGACAGAACCCCCAACAGTGACACGTCGATTTGATCGCTTCGCTCATTCCGCCGATCCCCGATATTTGATCGCTTCGCTCATTCCGCCGGCCCATATTGCCTCGCCGCTGTTGCTTGTCGGGGTGTTGCTGTGAATGCTGTGCGGTTGGGCGGCTGCCATTTTTCGGAGGCGGTGGGTGGCGGGTCAGAGGCCTCACGGATGATGGTTGGGCTCCCGCGGTTGGCCTCTCAAGGGTCTTTTGGGAGGCAGTTTTGAGGACCCTGGGCGGCTTGCACGAAAGGTTAGTCGAGCATTTCTGGCAGAGATCCCCTCGCTTTCACACATCGGTTACACGTTACACAGACATCCTTTGTGTTTTGAGAACACTGTTTTGTTTCTAACCATTCTGTGGTGTTGGGTCCTCGGGTTGAAGAGACAGCGCCCCGAGTCTCCTCTCCTCTCCACTCCTCTCCTCCCTCCTCCTCTCCCTCCTCCTCCTCCCGCCCTTGCCTCTGCCCTCTGCGGGTCCACCATTTCAGCGCACCCAGCACGGCGCTTCGGGGCCCCATAGGGAGCTTCACCAAGGGCCCTAGCGGCTGTAATCATAATCATGTGCGTCCCGCGCCGCCCAGTACGGCGTTTCGTGTCCCCGTAGGCAGCTTCACCTAGGGCCCCAGTGGCTGTGATCACATGCGCATCCCACTACGACGTTTCGTGGCCCCATGGGAAGCACCACCGAAGGCGGCTGTGATCACATGTGTTTCGCGCCACCCAGTACTGCGTTCTGTGGCCTCACAGGGGGGGTCCATACAAGGCCCCAGTGACTGATCACATGCGTCCCGCGCCACCCAGTACGGCTCTTCGTGGTCCTATAGGAAGCTCCACCGAAGGCCCAAGTGGGTCTGATAACATGCGCCCTGTGCCAACCAGTACGGCGCTTCGTGGAGCCACCGAAGGCCCCAGTGGCCTCAGTGGCTCCGTGTCCCCGTATGAAGCTTCACCGAAGGCCCCAGTGGTTGTGATCACGTGCGTCTCCCCCCCGCTTCATTTCGGCACACCCCTCACGCGGTTCGTGGCCCCATACGGAGATCCACCGAAGGCCCCAGTGGCGACGCTCGCATGCGTCCTGCCCGACCATGTCGGCATACCCCACACACGTTTCGTGCCCCCCTACGGAGTTCCACAAGGCCCCAGTGGCTGTGGTCACATGCGTTCCGCGCCACACAGTACAACGCTTCGTGGCCCCATCGTGAGGACTACAGGCCCAGTGGCTGTGATCAGATGCGTCCCGCGCCACCCAGTACGGCGTTTCGTGGTCCCATAGGGAGCGTCACCGAGAACCTCAGTGGTTGTGATCCCTTGCGTCCCGCGCCACGCAGTACGGCGCTTCGTGGCCTCATTGGTAGTTCCACCGAAGGCCCTAGTGGCTGTGATCACATGCGTCCCGCGCCACGCAGTAACGCGATTCGTGACCCCATAGGGGGCTCCACCGAAGGACCCAGCGGCTGTGATCACATACGTCCTGTGCTACCGAGTACGGCGTTCCTTGGCCGCTTAGGTAGCTCCACCGAATGCCCCAGCGGCTGTGGTCACATGCGTCCCGCGCCACCCAGTACGGCGTTTCGTGGCCGTTTATGGAGCTCCACCAAAGGCCCCAGTGGCTGTGATCGCATGCGTCCCGCGCCAACCAGTGCGGCGCGTCGTGGCCCCATAGGGAGCTCGCCCCAGTGGCTGTGATTACATGCGTCACGCGCCAACAGTGCTGCGCTTCGTAGCCCCGTAGGGAGCTCCACTGCAGGCCTCAGTGGCTGTGATCACATGCGTCTCCCACCACCCAGGGCGTCCCCACTTCATTTCGGCACACCCCTCACTTTCCGTGGCCCCATATAGAGCGCCACCGAAGGCCCTAATGGCTGTGCTTGCATGCGTTTCCGCCCTATTTCGGTACAGTGGCACCAAGAGGAGATCCACCGAAGGCGACACCCACCACGGCGATACTCGCAATTGCAAATGGTTGGGCCAGTTTGCCAGGATATTTTTAGATCCCAGATCAAGTCGTGGCAGGCCTACAGGGATGCCGGGACGGCGGGTCCCTCCGTCGCCCCAGACATCATGCTTGTGTCGTGCAAAAACCATGGTGGAAGGTGTTGGGCAGTTCTGAGCTTGCCGGGGGCCTTTTCAGGGCCCGGGACTGTCAAAACATGACTCGGGCTGAACAGCCCACACCTCGGGAAAGGATCGGGGCTTCCTGGGATCCCGCATTGAGGAACTCGAGACATCGGACGTCTGGGGCTGCCGTTTCCGCCATCCCTGTTGGAGGAGGCACTGCACCGATGCCGCTGCTCGCGCCACGGCCGGCTTCTCCTCGAGATCTTGGTCAGAACGCACCCCAGGCGGGGTCCACGGAGCAGCGGTATCGGTGCATCACATGTTGGCCCCCCCACGATGCCACCCCGTCGTGTCTCGCCCGACGTGCCCCTGGCCCAAGGTGCTCCCAGGCTTTCGAAGGAGCGCACCCCGCGGCCTCCAGAGGCCCCCCCCCCCCCCGGGGGGGCCCACGTCCTCCCGGGGGCCGCAGTGTGGAGCGAGGAGCCAGGGACACCTGGGGGCCAGGGGCGCCTGCAGGCAAGACGCGGACCTCGGGATCATTTCGGGCTCGGGAGGGGGCCCACAGAAGGGGGGGTAGTAAACACACAGACGCCATGAATCGTCGACCCAGGGAAATATGGAAAAATATGGGAAGTGGGAGGGGAGGACGAAAATCCAGAAAACATGGAAGCATATGGGGAATCCTGGGATTTATGGGTATCTATTTGCGTGTCCCAGGGCCCCTTCACCACTCGGAGCCGAGGCTCGATGTGGCCAGGAGCACGAGGACACCTGTAGCCCCCCCCGTCGCTGCTCGCTGCTCGTCCTCGTGTCTGTGCTCCTGGATCCCCGCGCTCCCGCTACTGCTTCCCTGCGGCTTGCCGCCCGACGGGGGCCGCCTGCCGCCGCCGCGGCTCCTCCTGCTCGACGGTGAGCAGCGACGTGACGCTGAAGATCACGATATAGCTCTAGACCTCCTAGATGGGGTCGGAGTAGATGGGGTCAGAGGATCGCGCCGCATCGCCGATGCATCGCCGATGCATCTCGATGTGGGGCCAGATTTGTCTCACGCCGACGCCGACGATATATCGCCGACGTCGACCATGCATCGCTGGTGCATCACCGATGCATCACCGATGCATCGCCGATGCCGGGCGATCCTTGGACCCCATCTATTCTGACCCCATCTAGGAGGTTTCCAGTAGTCGGTGCTGTTCTTCACGGCTGCCGCGCCTGAGCGTCGGAGCGGAGATCGTCCCACTTTCCGCTGGAGCTTGATTCGATTTCGGCACGGATTGCCGAAGAAAACACGGCTCCGCAGGAGAACGACACAGGCTGGCGCAGCACGATCGTTCAAAGTAGAGCTCGTTCAGTCCATCGATGATGGGCCTGTTGTCCACCACCACCACCAGAAGTTGGAGGGGGGAAGGAGGAGGACGACGAGGAGGTTGAAGACGAGGACGAGGAGGAGGAGGAGGAGGAGAACACCCCCTCCCCCTCCAACTTGTGGTGGCGGTGGTGGAAAAGAGGCCCATTAATCGAGGGCTGAGCCAGACAAAGCGCTCTTCTGGTGCACAGTGCGTCCCGCGTCGGCCGACACGGCGGCCTTCTGGTGGTGCAGCCTGCTCCCGAGCTCCCGCAGCAATTGCCATGGATCGGCGCGCCCCCCGGGGGAAGTGCGATGAGGCGGGCCGTGCTGGCAGGCTCCAGAGGGGATCGGGCCTCCTTCTGAGTAGCTGCAGGAGCCTCATGTGCGAAGTCACGGGGGGCCTCTTTGGAGGCGGGAGGGTTCCGAGAAGACCCGCTGTCCTCCGAGAAGCCTCGCCCACGCGCTCCCCGCCGCTCCCGCCCCCCTCTGATGAGGCTGTCTTCCACCACCGCCACCACTATAAGTTGGAGGGGGGAGGAGGAGGAGGAGGAGGAGGAGGAGGAGGAGGAGGAGGAGGAGGAGGAGGAGGAGAAGGAGGAGAAGGACGAGGAGGAGGAGGAGGAAGAAGAGGAGGAGGAGGAGGAGGAGGAGGAGGAGGAGGACCCTCCCCCTCCAACTTGTGGTGGTGGTGGTGGAAAGCAGGCCCATCACCTCTCACTTCTCTGGCAAGCCGCCCAGTGGAGGACGGGGCGCTCAGTCCGATCCAGTTCTCCTGCCCGTCACACGAACAACGCACCCGTGCGACCGCGTATCCGCGGGATCGCACCCCGGGAGTGCAGACCTCGAGGGCGCGGATACTGACGTGCTCGCCGCTTCTGCCCCTCCCCACTCCTGGGAACACGAGCTGGCATACGCATCACCACTCGCAGATCCGCGTGGGTTCCTCGGATCGGCGCTGCGTGGATCCCGCCCCCTGGCGCGCGGAGCGCGCCGGGAGCGGCGTCGGAGGTGCCACCAGGAGGAGGAGTCGGAGGAGGAGGAGGAGGAGGGAGGTGGGAGGAGGGGAGAGGAGGAGGAAGGAGGAGGAGGAGGAGGGAGGAGGGAGGGAGGGAGGGAGGGAGGGAGGGAGGGAGGGAGGGAGAGGGAGGGAGGGAGGGAGGGAGGGGGAGGGAGGGAGCGAGGAGGAGGAGGAGGAGGAGGAGGAGGAGGAGGAGGAGGAGGAGGAGGAGGAAAAGGAAAAGGAGGAGGAGGAGGGAGGAGGGAGGAGGGAGGAGGAGGAGGGAGGAGGGAGGAGGGAGGAGGGAGGAGGGAGGAGGAGAAGGACGAGCCCTGGCGCTGTGCCATTGCATCCCCCCTGGCCACCAACGCCCGGATGGCTTATGGCTGCCGGCGGCTGCGGGCCCCGAAGCGGTCTCTGAGCGATCGGGCGTTCCGAGTCGCGCGCGCGTGTGCTGCTCTGCGACCTTCTCCGCCCTGTCGCCGCGCGCAGGGCCGCGACGCAAATAGAAAGTTTGTGCCACTTGTTGCTCCCCTGCCCGCCTCTGCGCCCTCCGTGGGCACTCCTCGTCAAGGGGGGGCTGCTCAGCCCCGCGGCCTCCCTCCCTTGCTCCCCCTTCCCTGCCCCACCTTCTCCCTCCCCCTCCCCTCCATCCCCTTCCTCCTTCCGTCCTCCTCCAGTCCTTCTTCCCCCCCCTCATCCTCTTTCCCCCCCTCGTCCCCCCTCCCCTCCTTCCCCTTCTCCTCCTTCCCCTTCCCCTCCTTCCCCCCCCCCCTTCTTCTTCCTTCCCTCCCCCTCCTCCTTCCGCACCCCCCTCCTCCACCCACCTCCTCCTGCTCCTGCTCCTCGTCCTCCTCCTCCTCCTCCTCCTCCTCCTCCTGCTCCTCGTCCTCTTTCTCCTTCTGCTCCTGCTCCTCCTTGTCCCCCTCCTGCTTCCCACCCCCCTCCCCCTACCCCCTTCTTGAGGCGGCGGCGCCGCATGGTCGAGGTCTCGACCCCGCGGGGCATCCCCGATGGCAGCAGCGCCACGTACGAGCTGCGCGCGGCCCTCAAGAAGCAGCGCCGGAACTCCCGGGACTTCGGCCCTCCGGTGGGAGCGCCACGCCCGCAGGGGCCGGCTTGACCCACAGGGGGGTCCAGCTGAAATTGGGTGGTGCAATAGGCAATAGATTTGGTGCAGTCGATTTTCGGGGTTTGCAGTAGATCTGGGGCGTGCAGCACATTCCAGTGCGCAGATGTGCTGCTGGGTTTTCGCGTGCGGCACATTCGATGCAACGCAATGCAAGACATCTCTTCGTCGCAGTACATTTGCAATACAGTTGCTCCAAACCTATTGCACCACACCCTTGCTGCTGCACCCCTTTTTGTGTCAACCAAAAGGGGGAGGCGGCGCTCAGGAGTGGGTTTTGTCATTCGGGGTCGGGAGGCACTGGTCCTTCTAGTCATTTGCTGCGCTGGCGAAGGATCGCTCCCCATCGGCGATGCATGTGCGATGCGGCTCAATGTCGAGCCAAAGTTTCTCCCCGCCAATGGCGCCGATGCATCGCCGACGTCGCCGATGTCATCGGTGATGCGTCGACGATGCGGTGCGCTCCTCTGACTCCACCTTCTCCGACCCCCATCTGCAGTCAATATCCATAGTAAGGATGCGCTGCTTCATCAAGGCTACCTTGTGTCCCCGCTTATTCGGCCCCTCCTGAGCCAATGTTGACGTCCAACGAGCTCTAAATGGTCTTGCGTCCTGACTTTGCCTTCTTACCATGGATCGCCGACGTCGCCGGTGCATCGCCGACGTCGCCGATGCATCACCGAATCATCGGCGAATACATCGGCGCTGCGGCGCGATCCTCCGACTCCATATGTTCGGACCTCATTCGGCAGTCTTCTAGGCGCGCTGGAGCAGCCTGGGTCGCTCATCGCGGCGCTGGCCCAGAGAGAGAGGAAGAGCTAGAGGAGAATGAGCATTGGGTCCTGAATGAGAAGAGAGGAGGAGGAAGAGGAGGAGGAGGAAGAGACGGAGAAAGAGGAGGAGGAGGAGGAAGAAAAGAAGGAGGAATAAAATGATGAGGAAGAAAAGTTGGAGGAGGAGGAGGAGGAGGAGGAGGAGAGAGGAGAGCGGGGAGGCTGCATCCGATGGGGTCTCAGGTCTCAGGCTACGTGGAACCAGGAACCGGGAAGCGAGAGAGAGAGAGAGGGCAAGGTATGGTTTTGAGCTCGGTACCTCCTTCCCTTCCCCCCCCTCTGGAAGCCTCCGTCCGCGCGCGGCTCCGCGCGCGGACGCGGGTGGCTTCGGATGCGGGATCGCTCGTGCAGCGCTGCGGCAGCGGCCTCTTCCTATTCCTGGTGCTCCTCCAGCTGTTCCTCTCCTGATGCCACCTTCCCGACTGCCCAATCCCTCCTCTTCTTCCTCTTCTGCTTCTTCCTCTTTCATGATCCCTGCTTCCTGTGTCCTCTCCTCCCTCCCTCGTTCCCCCCCATCCATCCTCTCTCCTGCTTTCTCCAGGGCGTAACGGTGACGGCTGCTGTTTCGATCAACACCTGAGTGGCTGGCGCAGGAGCAGACGTTGAGGTTGCTATACCCCCCCGTCTTTCCAGGGGGCGCTGCGGGCGTTCCCTCCCGACAGGCAGAATCGCGATCTGGCGCCCATGCTCAATGCAGTCACAGCGAGGCGTTATTGGACACGTATTCTTTTTCGCCCCTCCACCCCCTCCCCCAATCCTGCATGACCTCCTCCTCCCTCCCTCCTGCTCCTCCACCTCCTCCTCCTCCTCCTCCTCCTCCTCCTCTTCCTCCTCCTCCTCCTTCGCGCCCGCGCTCTTGCTTGCCCCACCACTCCGACTCTCCGGCGCCCGTCTGGCCCTGGTGGCTCTAGTCTTCCCGAGTCCGGCGCCCTCTTTTTTCGATTCCTGGTCCAGGTTCCATCGTCCCGGCTCCGACTCCTGTCTCTCCCACTCCTCGGGGCGGCAAAGAGGGGGGTGATGACTAGGCGGGGGTGGATATCTTGGCGGGGGCCATGATATTTCCTCAGATTTCATGGCGCCTCTTCTTGTTTCATTACGTCCCTGGTCCCCCCGCTGGACCGCGTACATGCCGCCGGTCATGATTTGCACCCCCCCTCTTGGACACTCCCCTCTTTGCCGCTCCCGAACTCCAGCACACGTGTTCGTGTCCCCGACTCCAGCTCCGATGTCCCCGCCTCAGGCACCTGTCTGCCCGGTTGTTGCTTCAAGCTGTCCGATCCTGGCGCTTGCCATTCTCTTCTCGACGTCTGTTTTTATCTGGCTACACACCTCGCTGCGACCACCAGTTGCACTGATTTCACCCATTTAGCAGCACGCTTGCCTTCTGTGCAAATTCCTTCAGCTGTCCCAATGCGCTCTCGAGGGCGCGACGTTATTCGCGCTTCTCGGTTCGTCTCCGGTTCCTCCTCATCCTTCTTTTCTCCCTCGGGGGGCGGCTCGAGATCGCGAACATATTCGCGCTTTGGCGCGAAGTTCGAAGTTAGGCGCCCTTGGATATCGAGCTTTGTTCCTTCCCCCCACGTGGTGTGTGCAAACCATTCACCTTGTCTACACGAGTCACGGTCTTTCTGGGCGTGTCGGACCCACCTTGCAGCACCCGCCTGGTGCATGACACATGCCGTGTCCGTGCCCGTGTCCTCCTCATCAATCTTTTCACTCGTCCCCCCCTCCTGATCTTCCGCCTCCGCCTCCCCGGTCCTCCTCCCCATTCCGCGGGGCGAGGTGGCGAAGTCGCTGTTCATTCGCCCCTCCCTCCTGGTCTCCCGCCTCCGCCTCCCCAGTCCTCCTCCCCCTTCCGCGCGGCGAGGTGGCGAAGTCGCTGTTCGTTCGCCCCTCCCTCCTGGTCTTGTGTCCTTGCCTCCGAGGCTCGTCCCTGCCATTATCACTGGTCGCCCGCCGACCTGAAAAGCCCAACTTCGGCCTCCAAGGGTCTTGCGTCCTTACCTCGCGTCCTTGCTACACGTTTTCACTGTAGGGGGACACGCCCGACCTTCCGCCTCCGCCTCCCCGGTCCTCCTCCCCCTGCCGCGGGGCGAGGTGGCGAGGTCGCCGGAGGAGGAGAAGCGCCAGCCGTCGCTGGAGGGCACGGGCAGGCACGGAGTCCAGTGTTGAGGAGGAGGAGGAGGAGGAGGAGGAGGAGGAGGAGGATAGAGGAGGAGGAGGAGGAGAGGAGGAGGAGGAGGATAGAGGAGGAGGAGGATAGAGGAGGATAGAGGAGAGGAGGATAGAGGAGGATAGAGGAGGAGGAGGAGGAGGAGGAGGAGAAGGATAAAAGGAGGAGGAGGAGGGAGGAGGAGGAGAGGATAGAGGAGGAGGAGAGGAGGAGGAAGAGAGGAGGAGGAGGAAGAGGAGGAGGAGGAGGGAGGAGGAGGAGGAGGAGGAGGAGGAGGAGGAGGAGTGAGAGGGGAGGAGGAGGAGGAGGAGGAGGAAGAGGAGAAGAGGAGGGAAGAGGAGAAGGGAGAGGAGGAGGAGGAGGATAGAGGAGGAGGAGGAGGAGGAGGAGGACGGGCAGGAGAACGAGGAGGAGGGAAGCAAGGGGGAGAAATGAAAGGTGGGATGATGGCGCAGAAGGAGGAGGGACGGGGGCACTGACGAGATGCAGGAGGATGACGCGTGGGGAGTGGGGCGAGGGGCGCGAAGGTGAAGGGTAAGGAGAGGAGAGGAGGAGGAGGAGGAGGAGGAGGAGGAGGAGGAGGAGGAGGAGAATGAGGAGAATGAGGAGGAGGAGGAGGAGGAGGAGGAGGAGGAGCAGTGGGGCGATCAGATGGTCTATGTAGTCAGTGGCCTCAAGGAGTTAGCAGTTGCAGTCAGCCATCTGACCTAGGACCTCAAGCTCCCCATGGCCTATAAGACGTTGTGGTCAGCTGCCGCCTGTGGGCCCCTCCTCCAAGTTGCTTACCAGGCTCTGGAAGATCTTGGATGGCCTCGACCCCGTACTGGTGCTATTACTAACCTCGGTATCGACTACCTTGGAGGGAGACACAAGCTTCGACCTGGAGCTAAGCGACAACGGCATGAACGTGTTTGTAAATCAGAGTGAGGGGGCCGAACGGTCATTCATTGTCCCTGGGTGCGTGGCTGAAGTGAAAATCCGTGGTGAGGAGTATGCTTGTTGCGTTGTTGCTGTTGCTGTTGCAGTTGCTGTTGTTGTTGATGCTGCTGTTGTTGTTGGTGTTGAAATCTCATTCCTGAATAATGTTTTGTGTTGATCCCCCCCGTCCGGTGCACATTGTTGTTTCAATTGAAGTGCCCTTCCCGGGGCTCGCACCCTGTTCCCTACCTAGGCTCTGCGTAGAGGGTTCTTACTCTGTTAGCTTAAAAGGGCCGGGCAGTGTAAATCGCCCCGGGCGGTTCCCCCAGGATCCGCCCCGCGGTTCCCCCAGTTGCGCCCCTTGGGTTTACCCAGCTTAGCTTAGCTTAGCTTATCTCATCTTAGCTTAGCTTTGCCTAGCCTAGCTTACCTTAGTTTAGCTTAGCTTAGCTTAGCTTGACTTAGCTTAGCTTAGCTTAGCGCAGCTTGGCTTAGCCTAGCTTAGCTTAGCGTCGCTTAGCCCATCCAAGGTTAGCTTAGCTTAGCATAACTTAGCTGATCTTACCGTAGCTTAGCGCAGCGCAGTATAGCGCAGCGCTGCATTAGCACAGCATAGCATAACCAAGCATATCATAGCATAGCTCAGCATAGCATAGCATATCATAGCACAGCGCAGCATAGCATAGCATAGCATTGCTTAGCGTAGCACAGCGCAGCATAGCATAGCACAGCATATCACATCATATCATAGCATAGCATAGTGCAGCACATCATAACATAGCATAGCACCGCGCAGCATATCATATCGTAGCATAGCGCAGCATAGCATAGCATAGCGCAGCACAGTATAGCATATCATTTCATAGCGTAGCATAGCGCAGCATATCATAGCGCACAGCATAGCATAGCACAGCGCAGCATCGCATAGCATCGCATAGCCTAGCATAACACGGCGCAGCCGAGCGTACCCTAGCATAGCATAGCATAGCATAGCGCAGCATAGAGCAGCATAGCGCAGCATAGCAACGCATAGCTAAGCATTTCATAGCATAGCGTAGCATAGCGCAGCATATCATAGCATAGCATAACATAGCATTACAGCAACGCAAAGGCACCGCAACAGCAGCAACAGCAAAGCAAAGCACAAGCAACGCACAGCCCGACCTGCAGTGCTGAACAGCCTGCAGCTCTGCAGGAGCCGCGAGCAGTGCTGAGCAGCCTGCAGCTCTTGCAAGCAGTGCTGAACAGCCTGCAGCTCTTGCAGGAGCCGCGAGCAGTGTTGAACAGCCTGCAGTACTTGCAGGAGCCGCGAGCAGTGCTGAACAGCCTGATGTCGCTTTGTGCACAGCAAGGCAAGACAAAGCAAAGCGCAGCATAGCATAGCATAGCATAGCTTGCGTGTGCTGCTGTCTCGGCGACTTGCTGCCTGCTTCTGCTGCTGCTTCACTTACGGCGTGGCGTCGGCGGTTCTGGCGCTACTACTACTACTACTACTACTGCTACTACTACTACTACTACTACTACTACTACTACTACTGCTACTGCTACTGCTACTGCTACTGCTACTGCTACTGCTACTACTACTACTACTACTACGACTACGACTACGACTACGACTACTACTACTACTACTACTACTACTACTACTACTACTACTAGTACTACTACTACTACTACTACTACTACTACTACTACGACTACTACTACTACTACTACTATATACTACTACTACTTACTACTACTACTACTACTACTACTACTACTACTACTACTACTACTACTACTACTACTACTACTACTACTACTACTACTACTACTACTACTACTACTACTACTACTACTACTACTACTACCGCCACTGCTACAACTACGACGATGAGGAGAAGGAGGAGGAGGACGGCGTTTACCTCTCCTACTAACGTTGCTCTCCTAGAGGCTCGAACTCCTAGGTCGGGTCGCACTGGGATAATTTTTCATCAGGGAAAGTTTTGAGGGTCAAACTGCGTTTTTGGCCCCCGGTTTACAACAACAACAGCGGCTCCCGCCTGATATTTCCTCACAATCTATTGAAGAATCGCGCTCTCGCTTGGGACTTCCTTGCCTTAAAGGGGCCGGGCAGTGTAAATCGCCCCGGGCGGTTCCCCCAGGATCCGCCCCGCGGTTCCCCCATCTACGTCCCCTTAGCTTAGCGTTGCTTATCTCATCTTAACTTAGCCTAGCTTGGCTTTGCTTAGCCTAGCCTAGCTTAGATTAGTTTAGCTTAGCTCAGCTTAGCTTAGCGCAGCGCAGCATTACCATAGCATAGCACAGCATAATATAGCATAGCATCGCATAGCGCAGCACAGCATAGCGCAGCATCGCATAGAATAGCATAGCATAGCCTAGCATAGCCTAGCATAGCCTAGCATAGCCTAGCGAAGCATAGCATCGCATAGCATAGCATAGCTTAGCATAGCACAGCGCATACCCTAGCATAGCATCGCATATCATAGCATAGCATAGCGCAACATAGCGCGGTAAAGCATCGCGTCACATACCATAGCGCAGCGTAGCATAGCATATCACAGCATAGCGCAGCACAGCATAGCAGAGCATGGCATAGCGCAGCATACCATATCATAGCATAGCCTATCATATCATAGCATAGCGCAACATATCATATCATATCAAACAATAGTGCAGCATTTCATATCATTGCATACCATACCATATCATAGCATAACGCAGCATATCATAGCATAGCCTAGCCTAGCATAGCATAGCGCAGCCTAGCATACCCTAGCATAGCATAGCATAGCGTAGCGCAGCATAGCGCAGCACAGCATAGCATAGCTGTAGCTGTAGGTGTAGATGCGGATGTAGTTCTAGATGTAGATGTAGGGACCAACCTATACTACTACTACTACTACTACTACTACTACTACTACTACTACTACTACTACTACTACTATTACTACTACTACTACTACTACTACTACTACTACTACTACTACTACTACTGTTGCTGCTACTACTACTACTACTATTACTACTACTACTTACTACTATTACTTACTACTACTATACTACTACTACTACTACTACTACTACTAACTACCACCACTACTACTACTATACTACTACTACTACCTACTACTACTACTACTACTACTACTACTACTACTACTACTACTACTACCTACCTACCTACCTACCTACCTACCTACTACTACTACTACTACTACTACTACTACTACTACTACTACTACTACTATACTACTACTACTGCTACTACTACTACTACTAACTACACTACTACTACTACTACTACTACTACTACTACTACTACTACTACTACTACTACTACTACTACTACTACTACTACTACTACTACTACTACTACTACGACTACTACTACGCTACTGCTACTACTACTAACTACTACTACTACTACTACTACTACTACTACTACTACTACTACTACTACTTACTACTACTACTACTACTACTACTACTACTACTACTACTACTACGACTACTACTACTACTACTACGACTACTTACTACTACTACTACTACGGCTACTACTACTACTACTACTACTACTACTACTACTACTACTACTACTATTACTACTACTACTACTACTACTACTACTGCTGCTGCTGCTGTTGCTGCTGCTGCTGCTGCTGCTGCTACTGCTGCTGCTGCTACTACTACTACGTTTGCTTCTACTACTACTTCTACTATACCGCTACTGCTACAACTGCGACGATGAGGAGAAGGAGGAGGACGGCGTTTACCGTTACTACTAGTATTGCTCTCCTCGGGGCTCCAACTCCTAGGTAGGGTCGCTCTGGGACGATTTGCCACCTGATCGCGGCTCCCGCTGGATACTTCCTCACCGTGTATTGAAGAATCGCGCTCTCGCTTAGGACTTCCTCGCAACTTGCCACCGAACCGCGGCTCCCGCATGAGACTTCCTTACAATGTAGTCAGATGCCGCTCCTCGACACTCAGGAATCGCGCTCCCGCTACATATTGCCTGGCGGTTCAAGGAGAACTTACG